CAGAGAATCGACCTACAGACCAGAAAAAAACCAAAATGGAACAAAAATGGCAGGTTACGGGATTAATCGGTTTTCAATGCATTCTAGGTCAATGGAGACTCGACCTACAGACTTTTCGACCTACAGCCATTGTTCCAATATGGTTTAATTCCGTAAGTAGAGGGTCCACTGTACTGCAGAGAAAACAGCAGATATCCTGACCAAACCATTAGTAAAGGACCTGTTTGAGAACCTGTGAGTGAAGATGAGACTCAGGGGTTCTTGCATGGAAGACTGAGAAGTGATGTTGAAAAAAATATAATCTTGCATGCTTCTCTTTTAACACCAGGTGTCTGCGGGAAGCATGCTCTGTATTTGCCACTAAACTTCCATGCCTCAGAGTCCTTGAGACCACCTTTACTTCCTGTTGTTTCCTCTGTTAGCCATCTTTCCTCCCTCCTTCCTTCTTCTCTGTAGACAGACATGTGGAGATGCAGACCGCAACATAAAAACAAATCCATGGACCCTGAGAAAAAGATTTTTTTTTTCTTTTAACCAACAAGCAGCCAGAGTTATCATTTTTCTTTTTCCAAAGGTGAGACTGGGCGGCTCTCTCCATGCTTTTTTGTTTGTTTGCCCGGAAAAGTTAATTAATTAAATTTCAAATACATCAGAAGTCTTTAATGCATCCACTTGTCCACCCAGCCTCCTATATAGATTTTGTGGCTTATTTTTATATATCCAAGTGATGAGACATGCGCCCAGCATGCAGATTGCTATTATTGTAGAATAAAATATGATTTTGTAGGAATTGTAGGAGATCAATAAGGCCCTTTGGGACTATTTGTCAGGTACTCCTCCAGTAAAGTTGGCTCTTTCCATGAATTGGAAGAGCAGGGCAAAGAACCTCTGCTGCTCCTGCTGGAGCTGGCCCTGTCCTTAGGCAGAGTGAGACTCCTGCCTCTGATTAGAGATGCTGGCGACATCAGCAGCCGCCGCCTTCTGGCTGTTAGTTCTGAACACCCAAGATGTTATTCTTTGGTGGAGGTCAGAGTTACAGGTGCTGCATAGCCTGTACAAGGCCTCCCACACTAGCTCACCTCCTCTGGTGTAGTGAGGGGCACTATTACCTTAATTGCCAGTCCAGTCAACTTTTGTGCCTGGATGGAGAAGGAGGGACCATTGTGTCTGTCTCAGGCAGCGACATGGGCCAACCTTGGTAAAGGACCAGCTCACAGTGGTCTCATTAAGTGTTGGCCCAAGTGGACATGGATGTAAATGGGTGAAGTCCCTGTGCAGGGGGAATACATTCCAAATCATAGCTTATGTGCAGCAAGAACTTTGTAGTGCAGGGGTTAGGGTCTCAAACTCTGGTGAGAGAGAATTGGACTCAAATCTTTTTCAGCCACAAGCATATTAAAAATAATCATGTGCCATCAAGTCAATTCTGACTTAAATTCCTTTTCAGAATTTTCCAGGTAGAGAATTCACAAAAGTGGTTTCCCATTCCCTTCTTCTGGGACTGTGCAGCTTGCCCAAGGCCACACAAGCTGGCTCTACTCCCAGGAGGCACAATGGGGAATTGAACTTCCAGATACCTAAGCCACTGAGCTATTGAGCCAGCTACATCGTTTTGCTGATTTCTCCAAATTATGAACTATGTGAAGCAAGGACTTTGTAATTCTTTTTGTTTTGTTTTGTTTTTTTGTTTTTTTGGAAGAGAAACATGCACACAATCCTGAGCTATTCCAAAATAAAGATGGGAAAAGGTTAAACATAAAATAAATAATCTGAGACTAGGAGTAGTGTCATAATATAATCCCCATTATTAAGAAGCTTTTGAGTAAACTTGTGCAACTTCAACGCACTGTGCCGTGAACCCTGTACTATAGCTAGAGCCTAGCAAAAGTACTCTCCTAGAATTTCCCAGTCCTTATGGCCAAGGGGTCATGGGTGTTTGAAGAAATAACTTTGCCACGCTCTGCCAGCCAATTGCCAAAGTTTTCTGACTTTGCTGTTTTTAACAGGCAGCAAAGCCACACTTTTCAACATGCTTCTGGCAGATGAGAACGGCTGGATAGCTCAGTGGTTTGGTTGGGAGTACTATTCCCCACTGTGCTTCCTTGACAGGGACTGGACTCAATGATTGATAGGGTCCCTTCCACCTCTGCAGTTCAAGATGATTATGATTATGTATACACTATGTGCTAATCTGGAAAAAAAAAGATTTTAAAGGGAAACTGCTGATTAGATTTTGTGTTTAAAACTGTTCCTGTCTTATAAGACTGGAACAGTTTTATAGCTCTGACACTTATAGCTCAGTCCTAAGTATGCCTACCAAAAGTAAAACTTGTTTGAGTTCAATAGATCTTCTTTCCAAGTCATTGTGTGTTCTGGATCCCATTTCAGAACAGGGGAATTTGAAAAATATTCTGAAAATATAAGTCTCAGTGTAGCTTTCAGTATGTACAGTGGACTAACCACATGGCACTTGGCACTGTGCATCACATCACACTGGCCATCAAAGAGGTATTTATAAACTCAGCCTTTCATCTGTTCTGTCCCGCCCTGACTCCATTTTGTAGTGTGTGGATGCCCCCTACAGGATAAAAGGAACAATGGGGTTGCTGGGAGTGGTAGCCCCCAAAAAGTAATATTTCCAAACCTTGGGTATTTGAAGCCCAAATTTTGTGAGTTGCCCTAAGGTACACCCCTAGTCATTTATTTATGATTTATTAACTAGCAGAACAGAAAGCACAGAAATATTCTGCAGTGCTTTGTCTAAGCTGTAATTAGTTTGGATTCAGCAACACTGACAAGCCACTAACTTATTCAGGGACAATTCATATAAGTGCCATAATATATATTACAGTCAGTGTGCTTTTGAAAGCTACCTCCCCCACCCCACCCAGCACTTGAGGGTGAGCAACATAGGCTTAAAGGGCAGTGATCAACTTCTGAGGGGAATATGTCAGACCACTGACTATGTTTCCTGTGCTGGAAGACATTCTGGTAAGCAGGAAAAAAGTGAAACAAACTGATTCTGAAATTATTGAAAGTAATTGCTAGAGTAATTGCTAATTGCTAAATCTGCGCGAGTCAGGAGGTGAGGCTGAGGAGCCTGACGTCGAGGGAGGCCCAGAGGGAAAAGACACGAAACTGGGCCTTCTCGGCGATGGCTCCTCGCCTCTGGAATAACCTTCCTCCGGAGATTTGTGAGGCCTTCACGCTGGGTACTTTTAAAACTCAACTAAAAACATGGATGTACATCCAGGCCTTCCCTCCTGTCAACACTTGACTCTCTTCTCCTCCTTGCTATCTATTATTTACTATATTTTCGCACTGTATCTGCTATTGATTGTTTTGTAATGTTCTTGTGCCATTTTAATGTTTATATGTTATATTGGAAGCCGCCCAGAGTGGTAGAATATACCAGATGGGTGGGATATAAATAGAATGAATGAATGAATGAATGAATGAATAAACAAACAAACAAACAAACAAACAAGCTAACTAACTAACTAACTAACTAACTAATTAATTAATTAATTAATGGAACTGAAGTACGAAATCATGGAAAAAAGCATACCCCTAGAAGTATATCTTCCCTCATGCTTGGTGGGAGCAGCTGAAGAGAAAGATCTTAGCCTGAGACTTAGCCTTTCTTCACAAGAACTGGCAGCTGACCATGGAAAGCAGGCTTTCCCCGGGCAGGGGATTGTCAGGTGTGTCAGATTGCAGCTCCCTTCATTCCCAATCACCACACACCACACTGGAAATCATTTGCTAACTTTGTCTTCATGCAGTGAGTCAACTTTCCATACCCACTAAGCATGTTCAGTCTGCACTGGTGGTTATTTTGTTCTTCTATATGGGTTTCTTCCCTCTACTACTGTTGGGGCACATGGTGGGGTTTATCATATTTCTGACCAATCCTAACTACCTAAAACCCTTTAATTTTCCCACTGATGTCTATGGGCAGCTCTCTATTCTCTCGGTTGGACTATGGAGCAAGATGTGATGAAAGAGACATAAGGCTGAATTGATAAAATATATCTTCTCAGTGAGAACCATGAAGGAACACATCCAGACTATGAGATAGTTCTGTCCAACTTGTGTAGAAGTATCTATGTGTTCTTGTCTTCCTTCTTCTAGCCATTTTGTGTTTGTTACGATTATTGTGGTTGCTGTAATCACCACCACAACTATCACTACCTTCTTGGGCTTTTCCTCTCAAGATTTTTTAAAGCCCTTGGAAGCTTCTGGCAGGGTCTGCCAACATATTATTTCAGAAGTGACTAGTGGGGGCTTTGTAACATAAGCATGAGCGTGGGACGATTCCAGTTTTTAAAAAAAGAACTACAGGGACAAAAAAATCTCCCCCAATATCAGTCTAGCAGCTGAAATAAAGGTTCCATAGAGAAAGAATTAACAAAAGTGTCATATTTGTTGTATCCCTTGAAGATAAGGTCAGAAAGAAGCTCACAATGCCACATCTCACTTCTAGTTAATGCACCTATTCTACGAAGAATTATTGAACAAGGACAAAGCTTCTACAGCTCATTTATGGCCTTGAATAGGTGTTCCATTGAGATAATCATCCCCCTGAAGACAGCAATTCTCCTAATTGATTAAATACACTCTAACAGTGGGTCATCAGTTGTCCTACATAGAAGGGCACATGGCTTTTAACTGTGGATACCAAATTACTGTAATTATCAACTATTATAATTAAAGGGAAAATGCTTCCCTTGTAAATGCTGTTGTAAGTCATCCAGTTGCTTTTCCAATGGCTCCCTCTGGCCCCTTTTAATGAAGTGGGTAGTTTTGACTGGGTAGGTATGACAGCTGGTGTGATCTTCCTGAATGGCCGCCTCTCCTTCCCTTGCCTGCCAAAGGCCATTTGGCTGTGGGAAAGCGTTGGCACTTTCCACACGCGTTATGTTGCAGATGACCCTGACAGCAAAAAAAGTGCTCCACTTTAAATATCAGTGCATAGAAAGACATGTAATAACACTTGCCCATCCTGGATTAAGTAGTACTTCAGAATCTCATCAGCCTTGGAGGTTGGGGTCGCAAAGCAGCTCTCCACCAAGGTCTCCAGACCACTCACGTGTACCAACGGCTCAATCCCAAAATACAAAGAATCTCTGAGTTTGAGAGTCGGGAGAGTGTCCCTGTAGGTCTCTTCAAAATCGCTGTCTTTGAAAATCTCAAGAGTGAATGGGAAGACACCTCGGTTGCGGCTCATAATCTCCAGCGGTGTGTTCTTAACATTGGGAATGTAACCCTCCGAGATGGTGTACTGGCGAGGGAATTCACAAGTTATAGGGATCAGCAGCTTGCCGGTTCGGACAATGATGTCACCATTACTACCAGGAGTTTGTTTTGGCAAGCCGGTCACCATATTGGTAGCGATGATTTTGTCATTTGCCACCTGTAACCAGAGGGAGAAGAAATTATTGTCGAAAGATATGAATAGAGACATCAGGAGCAACTTTATGATAACCAGCCATCTCAGAGAACCTGTGGGAGTGTACAGAAAGGTACTGGGAATCCTAAGAAATTTTTGAAAGTTAGTTTCTAGTCCATGTGCTTGTAAATATTCGATCCTTCAAAAAAACTTCTGGGTTATGAAAGTGGGATATTGTGCTTCTGTACCAATGATTTAAAAAGCCAGGAAATGATCTGATATTGTTGCATACTGTAATGTCATGCCTGCATTGCCAGCAGGAAAAAAAAGGATGTCAAACTTTACATAGGAAGAGGCAGCCTGAATGTTGTCAACACCAATGGCAGCAGTCAAGATGTTCTACAGGATACCCCCTTCTGCTCATTACCATTTGCAAAGGGACACCACACAAGGGAAAATCTCAGAAGCTGACTCCTTTTTTCTTCAGTAAACCACTTCTCACTCAAACATAAAGCCATTGTCAGGGCTGTTTTTCAACAAGGGTGAATGATAGTAAGCAGAAGAAGGCATCCTGTAGACCATCTTGACTGCTGCCATTAGTGTTGTCAACATTCAGGCTGCTCTTAACTTGGCATCATGTAGCTGCTGGCAATGAGGTATGATATTGTGCAGCAAAGCCCCAGCTGAGGAGAAAGGCAGGTGACAAGGGTTATTTTTTAACCTCCCTTCTGTCTCCCCAACCATCACCCCGATGTTCTTCCCTCATGACAGCTGCTGTTGCTGCTCTCTGCTTATTCATGAGTAAACTGGGTAAAGCTTGCTTTGAATGGATCTGTAGCCTGGGAGATAAGGACCGGCTTTCCCTGTCTCTCTGCAAAGGATCAGAAAAAGTGTGTATCTGACAGCTGATCAGGCTACAAGGAATTGTTTGCTATGGGGATAGGATGGGCCCATCACTCCTACTCCACTCCTCAACAGACCCTTTGTAACCTGATCCACCCTATATCCAAAACAGACAGTGTGGAATGGCCCATAGTCACCATCCACCAGAAGTGACTTGATGGCACATAGCATCTTCAGAATTTCTTTCTTAATTACCAAACAATGGTATAATGACAAGGTGAGTGGAATAGGCACCCAGTTTCTGCTAACATGGATGCAAATCATCCCCAATGGCGAAGCAAAAAAACAATAATTTCATAGCTTAAATGAGTGAGCTTCTGAATATTTTTATTCCTTATTTTAAAAATATCTTTTAAAATTTTTTACTTCAGAAATAGAAATTCTTTTTAATGTCTGCTTGGCCAGGAAGGAATTTAAAAGTCATTTAATTTGGTCCTCACTGGCAGTTTCAAAAGTTCAGCTCCCCCCCCCTTGCAAGAATGTTTATGTTTAGAATGTTCATGCTGATAAGAAAGCCGCAAGAAATGACTATTTTTCAAAGTCAGTATTAGAGTCCTGGTGCCTGGATTCTTTCCAAATGACAAAAGAGTCTGGGACTAACCATTCATTTTCAAGGTAAGCAAGTTTGATCTTTTCAATGTACAGTGGTGCCTTGCTTAATGGGCACCCCGTTTAACGATGAAATCGCATAGCAATTAACTTTTTGCGATCGCTTTTGCAATTGTTTTGTGACGATCGGTACCCTGTTTCGCTTACCGATCATCGCAAAGCGATGATTTTTTAACAGCTGATTGGCAGTTCCAAAATGGCCGCTGGGTAAAATAAATGGCTGCCCGCTGTTTTCTGGGACAGATTCCTCACTTCCCGGGCAGCGAAAATGGCTGCCGTATGGAGGATTTTCACCTAAAGGTGAGTCTGAAGCCCATAGGATCGCATTGAAGGGGTTTCAATGCATTCCTATGGGCTTTTTAATATTGCATAGTGACGAAATTGCTTTGCAGCGATTTTTGCTGCACCGATTATCGTCGCTATGCGAGGCACCACTGTATTTGATCTGTTTTAAATTTGCAGGCACAGAAGGTCAAAGATTTACTTTTAAAATCTTAATAACTTGAAAACAGTTTTCCCCACATATCCTCAGATTTGGTACAGAGCAAGAGCAGATTGTCTGCCACACCTGTGCCAAATTTGGTGCTGATCCGAAGTCCACTTTCTAAGTTACAATTTTTTGTTTGGGACAGTCCTATTTTTGGAATTGGCTTATGGAATGTTGAACTGGGCTTTTACACAGTATCTATTGCTACATGCTCGTGCAGCAATAAATATAGCTGAAAATACTAGCACCTACTGAAATGTCAGAGATGTAGATATAAGATTTCCAGTACCTAGGGGAAGTCTTTGGTGCTTTGTATAGGGCTTTGACCTTCTGCCATGATTAGCAACACCAGAATAAATTATGTAAATTAAGGGACATAGGGATTTCTCCTATATTTCAGAATTCAGTGTGTCATCAATTGTTACTTAATAGCTAGATGAAAATACACTCTAGCTTTTATAATTAACAATTATGTGCTGTCACATTGATTCTGACTTATGAAAACACCTCCCGGGAGTTTTGACTCTGAGACAATACAGTTTCCCCAGAGCCACACAAACTGGGCTTTCTTCTAACAGACACAACAGGGAATCAAACTCCCAAAACCTATGCTCCAACCCAGTGAGTTATCCAGCCAGCTTATGTTTTTATAGACTAAATTTAAAGGCACTTGAGCTCAAAATTTAGTTGTGAAGGAAGCATGGAAATGCTTTTCTTTATTGGCCAACATAATTATGACACCATCCTTTGACTCCTTCAGAATCATTAACTTGGAAATATTCAATATTGTGCTCCTCCCCACCCCCCACCCCCAGGTCTGCTATAGTTCTCTGTCCTCACTGGTCAGGCCCCAAATGTTACCATGTTTTCCCGAAAACAAGATAGGGTCACACACACACATATATATATACAACCATCTACATTTATTCAAATACAGTCATGTCGTCTTCTTCTGGTTGCTGCACAATGGTGGAGGGTGGGGTTTCACTTAACTGGGGCTTACTTCTTATTTGTTAATATTAACCAATCCAGCTGCCTGTATGTTTTGTATTTTCCTTCTGTCAACGATGAGCTATGGAGACTGTCAGGACCAGCACATGCATGCCCAAAATTAACATTGCCCCACTGATTCTATAGCATTTTAGATTCATTATTGCATGAGCTGAGTTTATGTGGGCCACAGCAATCACAACAAAACATTTGTTTCAAACTAGGAGGACTTTTGTGGAGTTTGTAGATCTTATCTGTCTGGGAAACGGAGGGACACGGAGGAATACACATTCTATACCCCCATTCCTAGGAATATGCTAGATGGGAGGTGCAAAGAAGAAGGCAGAAGCAGTAACCATTCAGATTGATAATTAGATGATTGGAAGAAGAGGCCATAGAAGTTCATCTGATGCCTTTATGATTGCAATGGGAAATCCTTTGGTTGGGGGCCCGGGTAAAGCAATGAGAGCAGCACTATAAAGTGTGACAAGAGAGAAACACTAAGTAAGCAGATTCTTGTTTCTCTTGCTGTCAAACAGGATGGCAAACCTCATATCCTCAATATGACAACTAGGTGAAAGCAGGATTTGTGCAGTCTACGACCGTATGGAAATCTGACAATAGATTTTATCAAAGAAGGTAAAAGAGACACAAAGTGGAAGTATCTAACTCAGCTGCAGGATCAGAGCTCTCAATCCCCCGCCCCCATGAACTTGTTTTCCTTAGGAGGTAAACAGCATTGTTAACAGCTGTACAAAAATGTAGGAAAATGAACATCACAGTGGCTATTCTTTGCTCATTTAAACTTACTTTGACTTATACGTATCTCCAGAGGGAAAGATCCAAAACAATGGATTCAAATTATGAAAAATGAGATTTTGCCAAAACATTAGGAAAAATTGCTTAATGGCAGAAGTTAGACTGCTTTGGAGGGTGGTGGACTCTCTTTCCCCAGAGGTCTTTAAACAGAGGTTAGGTGGCCATCTGTCAGGGATGCTTTAGCTGTGGATTTTATGGCAAGGGTTTAGACTCAATGACTTTGGGGTGTCGCGTTTCCCACGTGCCCCCTGTTTACTATTTTCAGACAGAGGCTCACATCACATTCTCTCTTCGCTGCCACCAGTGGATTACTTTAATCCACAATATAAATGACGTGTGTCCGAACACTTGTCATATGAACAAAACAGAACTTTATTTATTGAAGGGAAGCAGAATGAACAATAACAGAAGTCTTTCAGCTATTCAGTGTACACAAGCATTTCATCATCAGTTCCCTCAGTACCATATTTTTCTGTGTATATGACCCTCTAATGTGCAAGATGACCCCTTAATGTTGACCCTTGCCAGAGGAGCAGTCAATGGGCAACTGCTCCTCCACCTCTGTCTCCTGCTGCCTCCACCGTCCTATCACCTCCTCCAGTGCAACTGCTGGGGCTCACCTCCAGCTCACATTGTCGCCACCTTATCCCCTGCCGGAAGGGAGCGCTGGAGGAAGCAATGCGGTGGCAGCAGTCAATAGGCAGCAGCAAGAGGTGTGTGAGCACGCACAAGCGCTGCTTTGCCTCCACCTCCTCCTCCTGCTGCTGCTACTGGAGGGGACAGGGCAGCAACGGTGAGCCCCACAGTCACATTGGAGGAGGCAATGGGCAGTGGCTGGAGCAAGAGGTGCCCAAGCATGCACGAGTGCCTCTGCCTCCTTCCATGTATAAAACAACCCTCAATTTTTCACCTAATTATTTTAGGAAAAAGTATCATTGTATACATGGAAAAATACGGTACATAGTTTTTCTCAGCTTACAGTCTCATTGCCACCCTCTCTACCTATCTCCCTAACCAGCCCTATCTAACTCCTCCTTCTCCAGTCAAGCCTTATGTAGCTCCTGACTCCACCTCTCCAGCCCTCTCATAGGTTCATGTAAATCATCTCATGAATATGAGTGACATGAATGACATGGGCAGTCGCCACATGAGGCCCCTTCCAGCTTTACAATTCTGTGATTCTCTGATTTACTGAATCTAGTTTGACCCTCAGAGTTTAGAGATTCTTCAGTTAAGGCCAAGTCATTTAGGGTGGTATGATTACTACCAACATACATTTGTAGTGTTGACGTATCCTTCATTGTCTTCTAACCTATACCAGAAGCACATATATGGGATGAGGCTACAGGACTGATAATCGGTACACAAAAACACAGCTTCTTGCAACCAGTATGAAAAGCAATTGCTGCTACATACCTCTACAGTTGTGCCACAGGATTTCAAGGAGAAGACAATATTGACATGTGTGCCATTGGAAACTCCTTTGCATGACCCATTGATGAGTGAAAGATCCATCCCTCCAACCAGATCTTTAGGGATGTTCACTTCTATGGAGGTAGATTTGCACAGAACTGGGACTGGGGGGAAAAAGGCAGATATAATTAAATATGCTGGATCACTTTGTGAGGAAAGGCAGAAAAGGCAGACGAGTCCTCCTTTGATACTTCCTGTCCCTCCAGAAAATGCTTCTTGACAGATGCTCAACTTGCCCTATGGAAACCTTGCTTTGATTTGCTGGTTGTTAAAGCTGACAATTATGTTAGACTTTCGATTCCACTCCATTTATTCCTCAAAAGCTGTCTGTCTTCAGTGACATTCCCACCCCTCAGGATATGAATTTCATTGTACTTATGTCATATTTCTGAGATCAAGTCATGTTAATAGCACTTTTATGATGGGTCACCAACAGACTGAGTTATTGTTATGACTTAAAATTCTAATCTTCTATACAACAAGGATTCTTCCAGATGGGAAATCTCCTCCAGATAGCTAATGCTGTACCAGCAGTGGTGAACTGGTGTTCACAGCCTAGGAAAGCTGCAGAGTGGTGGTGGTGGTGATGGTACTGTATCATAATAATGAGAAACACCAATGTAACTGCTGGATTTTCTTCCAACGTATAGGAGATATATTCTCCAGTGTAATAGAGGGCATGCCCATGGGCTTCAAAAGGATTCCCTTCCCCCATCAAAACAATATTTGGATGTGAGCTTGAAAATTTAAGATGTGCAACCAGGCACCTTTTGTCACAATGCCATCTAATCAGTATCTCTGCAACATTTCCCACATCAATGAAAGTCTCCTTGTGCCATTTCCTGGGGCCAAGAAGTAAATTTCTTCTATAAATATGTAACAAGAGTTTTCATACATTCTTCACCACATTGTCAGCCACAACATAATATTACCATAAGACTGGTTCAGTCACAACCTTGACATTCCTCCCTGGGGGAAAAATAGCTCCATAGCTATGCATTTCATGTAAGTAAAAGAAAGTCACACTTTTCAAAGTGGCTCTGTCTGTCATCCCAGATGGCCTGGGTGGGAGGGCAACATTTGGGTTAGAGTAACTGCGGACTCAGTCCATGTGCTGCCTTTGTCTGTTGTATAATGTGATAGCACTTTCTTGTTTCACAATTACAATGCATCCTGTTTTGTCCAAGGCACCCATCTGGTAACCTGAAGTCCAATTTACATATGATTATATAGACACAGAGAACCCAAAATCCAGTGGAAGAAAACACTTTTTTCAAATGCTAACTGCACATACCTTATGCATGCAAATGCACAAGGAACTGCAGCAGAAGGGCCTGCTTGCTTGACCCAAATACAGGTGCAGTCTGGCTTTTGTTTTTGTACAGGATTCTCATCTGTGTGCATGTAGATTGGGGGTAGAGCAGAGGGTTCAGCGCAAACAAAATTATGCTCTCCACTCAGCCCCCAGAAGCTGAGTAAGCTACAGCTCCCCTCAATCTCCCAGCCAGCATAGCAAGTGACATTCCAAATACAGAGGGGCACAAACCTAGTTTTGGATGTTCATGCTGGTTTGTATGTGCAACACCATAGGCACCACATGTTCCCTTCCCTGACCTCCCTGGCAGGAACTCCCACTCACCAGTCAGCGTACGCTCCTCTTCTCCTCCTCTTCAGCTGTTTGACCAGTCTCCAGCAGCAGCATGGGCTTCCTCACTTCACCTCCTTGTTTGATCGCCCACCCAGACAAGGAGGCGGGACAGGCAACTCTGTGCTTCTGACAACAACTGGTCAAACAGCTGAAAAGAATGAGAGAAGCGTGTCCCTACTGGTGAGTGGGTCACTGGATGGAGAGACAAGGGAAGGGAACACACATGAACTGGCACGAACCAAGGTTTGTGCCCATCTCTAATTCCAAACTCTGCACATCCTGGGCACATGCTCACTGTACACAAAGCAGTAGTCAGAAAAGGCCTAAATCCAAGTAACTGAGCTTAGTCAGGGTATGCCTTAAGGATCTTCTCCCACACATGCATTGGAAGAACGGTAAGGGTCACACGAGCTAAGCCCTCCTCTTCCATCAAGAGTTACTGTGGTCACACGTTCCACTGTGGGCACCCCTAGTGGTGGAAATACTTCCAGCATGGGAAATGTCTCAAGACATAGTATTGCTGTATGCCTATAGAATTCTCCATGCAAAGTGGGCTGGGGTGGGAGGCAGCCCAGTTCTGCCAGGTCCCTCTTTGCACAAACATACATCAGTATGCAAACAGAGCCTTTTTGCCTACCAGCTAAAAAGTGTTTTTTTAAAAAAAAAATATGGAGAGGGTGTTTCAAAATAGGTTTGTGACACAGCACAACCATCTGTTTAAATAAGAAAAGCAAAACAAAATTTCCACTTGGGTAGGGTAAGCCTGAGGCTAAGTAATTTTCTGGATCCAGGCCAAGGAGTTTTGCTGTCAGATTCTTGGGAAAGTCAACGTACTTCCATCTTGCTGCCAATATACACAAGCAACAGGCCATGTTTGCCAGCTTACCTCTTGAAGAAATCTTTCAGGAACAGAAGGTGGATAGTTACTTTTTGGGCTCTGATACCCAGAATCTTCCATCCAACATGTCATGGTGGCTGGGAGATTTAGCAAAGCTGCTGTTCAAAAGTCACTTTTGCAAGCTTTTTTCAGGAACCATGGCCATTCTTCATTCTTACCCCTTATACCATCCCATCTATTGACCATATACTGTACTGTCTGAAACCATGTGCTTCACAAACAGGAAGTTTTTACTGTTAGGAAACAACACTTCTAACTCTATGCTTTCTAACTCTCTCCTTTTAGCTTGAATTATTTCTATCTATAAAATACAGTGGTGCCCCACATAGCGAGGTTAATCCGTTCCGGATTAACCTTCGCTATGCGAAAACATCGCTGTACGGGGCAGGAAAAGCGTATTGGAACGCATTAAACTTAGTTTAATGCGTTCCAATAGGCGCCAAAACTTACCCCTCCAGCGATGTTTTCGCTGGTCCGGCGGCCATTTTGGAGCCGCCGATCAGCTGTTCGGTGGCTCGGATCGCTATACGGATTCTTCGTTATACGATGCGCTCGTTAAGCGAGGCACCACTGTATTTACTTTCTAAACATTTTATATTTAGAAGAAAATATTTTTAAATATTTTCTTCTCCCCTATCCCTAACTTCCCACTGTACACTTAACCTCTTTTCCTCCCCCTACCCACTTCACCGCGCCCAGTGATTAGATTAAAAGACTGGTTGTATAAAATGAGATCGAAAGATCAAATGAAAAAAATCCTTCAAAATAAGAATATATCATGGTTGAATTATATGCAGTTAGAAAAATGGACTAATGAATGGGTAAAGAAGTATAATAAAGGTAGAGAATATATGAAGTATGAACAATTTCTGTTATCATATGAAGATATTCAAATGACTGATTCAATAAAGGTTGCAGTGAGTAAAATTTATAGATTTCTGCTTGATCTAGAAGAAGAAGAGGCTGAGAAAGAAGGACTGAAGTTAGTGTGGGAACAAGACAGGAAAAAGAATAAATGATGAAGGATGGAGGAAGATGTGGAAAATGAGGGTTTTACTATTTATATTAGTGAGAATAAGAGAGAAAAAAATTCAAATTGGGTTTAAGATGGTATTTGACACCGACAAAATTGAATACAGAAGACACTAGTTATCCGAATGTCTGTTGGAAATGTGAGAAGGAAATTGGCACATACTTTCACATGTGGTGGGAATGCGAAAAAGTACAAAGATTTTGGAAACTAATCTTTGAAGAATTAAATGACATATGTGAAAAAGATATAGAATTTAATCCTGAGATAGCTCTGTTATCAATATTTGAGAATGTGGAGTATGATAAGATGACTAGAGAATTGATTACCAATTTATTAACAGCAGCCAGATTAATAATAGCTAGGAATTGGAAATCAAAGTCTGAATTTCGAATGGAAGAATGGTATAATGAAATATGGAACATTGCTATAAATGATAACTTGTAAGTTAAAGGTTAAGAAAGGAGAGATAAAAAGAATAATTTCTATGATATATGAGGCAGATTTCTTGAATATGAGCAAACAAGAGGAAAAGGGAAAGTTCCAAATCAAGAATCAATGCAGTTCTAGAGAAGAGGACAATAAAGGAAGAAGAAGAATAAAAATAGAGGAAGAAGAGGATTACTGCAAGAAATCATGACTATGGTGGTGGGGAACACAATCAATTTGTATTTTGGTTTATGTATTTTAGGTTTATGTTGTAGTTTAAGAAAAAAAGGAAACAACACTTCCTTATTAAGTGTGATTATCTTGGGGACTGTTGATTATTCTGGCCATTCGGTTTCTGTCTGGAGAAGAAAATGGCCTCCAAGAGTCTGAAGATAGCCATTATTCTATTACATAAGACTGGTCAAGGCCTGCAGGTTTAAGAGTCAGTTTATCCCCCAAAGGGCTGTGCTGTAGATCATTCCCCCTCTAAAAGCATGGGTTTCCCTGGCAGGGGATTATTTCTAAACCTACACAGGCTACCAAAGAGGCGTAAATAGAAAAAGTACCACAGAACCCTTTCATGTTTACCTAAGTGCGTTTCTATGTTGCCATTAGTCTGTGGAGAAACATTTGAACTGGGTGGTGGTGGTGGTGGGGAGATGGAGTCTGTTAGTAGCCATATTTGGAGAGTTTCTTTTTATAAAACAGGCTTGATTATTTTCCTGACACATAATTTTCAAACTTGAGGGGTGGAGAGACTATAAATTATTTTTAGGGATGAAAGGTATGGATTTATGAATCCTGTTTCCAGCATAACCGTTAGCAGCCATTAATTTCACTAGGTGTTCTCAAAACTATGAAAGCGGGTGTTCCATGTATCTGCATTTGATACATTGATCCACAGCTCCCTGGAATCTAAGATGAAATGAGAACTTTGAAGTGTATCTTTTCCCCCCTCTCCTTTTAAGATGTTATTGTTCAGGTTTTGAAACCATCTGTCTGCTTCAAGGAATAATTCTGGCATGAAAACATGACACTCATGTGCACATGGAGATACACAGAGAAAAAATATTCCTGGTTTTCCCTCCTGATTTCACCAAGGGTGCTGTTTGACAGAAAAGAAGAAAATGAAAAGCCAGGACTCGCTCCCTCTCAGCTCTCCCCTGATAAGAGTCACAAGAGAGAGAGAGAAATCGATGGATAGTAGACCAGAACTGCAGAGAGCAAATCCAGGGAGGGAAGAGAACAAAATAAGATAAACATTGTTTTCAAGCCCCTGAGGAGCAATTTGGAAAGTATTTCCAATAATGCCTGGCAGACAGATAACTTTGCATAGATGAATTGATCAGCTCACAGCCTTGATTTAGGACATTTATTAAGTTCCTCAACAAACTCTTTGATAAATGAGCATAGCTGCTGCCTACCTGATGTTTGGGTCCCAATATGGGGTGATGTCTCGCATTTGATCAAGTGAGGTAAGCACAGAAAATAATGTATTTCTCCATAGAATCATTTTTAAAAAATAAAATAAAACAAAACAACACACACACTGCAAATTACATAATTCATCTAAGACTCTCATCTCCCACCCAGTTGTAGGCAACTAAGGGCCAAGTGGGACCTTACAGCAGCAGACTTGTGTCCATGAAGCACTGCAGGCCCTAACATTGGCCAGGGTGAGGCAGTTGCCTCAGGCAGCAGGTGCTGGAGGCAGTACAGGGAGGCCCCCAAGGCTTTCTCTTCAGCCTTTTACGCCCCTTTCCTTCTCTTAGAGGGCAGAGCTGTGTTGCTGACCACAAAATTTGCCATGTGCTCTTTAAACAGGTCTGGTGCCCTCAGGTGTAATGGAGGACCCTGTACGGCTGCCAGCTATGAAACAGGGTTCAGCTGCTGGGACAAACCAACTGATGTACATGGAATGGAATGCTGCCTTGTCTTTTGCCTCAAGCAGCAAATGTTTTGTGCCAGCCTTGGTTTATAGTGAAAGGTGAGCACGTTAAGGGGACACTAAGCCATTCCCTTTCTTCAGCTTTCCCCTGGAAGTATGCTCCCTAAGCTCTCTCTTCTCTCAGCCAGAAATCTTACTGCAGATGCTGGGGGGAGGGGGGGCAGAGACAAAGCTGGACATACTATAGGAAAGAGACTAGCCTCCTTCTTCACCTCACTCTTTGACATTTTAAATTAGACCCTCCTTCCCGTCTCACAGGTTACATGTGATGTTTGGAAAAGTTACTGTGAAAAGGAACTCCCAGAATTTTGAAACCAGTGCATCTGATTATCATATTGGCTTGGAGATTCTGGGAATGGCAATCCAAAAAGTAACTTCTCCAAGCTATGCTGTACCAGCATATGCCCCAATGTGTAGAATTGTCATGTCTTCTTTACATCCTATCTCTCCACTTAACCCCCATTTTAATCATTTGCCCTCCTCAAAAACACCCTTTAGACTCAACACATTCTTATCTGAATCAGTACCATTTATTATTGTCACTCGCAGTGAGATAAATCATCTTTAAATTGCATCTTCCCAGCCTCTGTTCTTCAGCTTCACTGTTCCGGAAATTACCAACTAACATAATTACCTTCCTGCCTATTTTTTTGTTTTGTTTTCTCTGATGAAATCTGCTGTACCAGAAGTGTGCATGTCTTACGGGGCCTTCTAAAAGGTAAATTATTTCTGACTAGCAACTGCTTAGTAAACATAACATCCTGAATCTGGCTGAATGACTAACATTTCCTATCAATTCATGGCAAAAGTGAACAACAGTGGAAGCACTGATATGAAACATGCTAATGGCTTTGGCTAACTGCTGGCATTGTTAACTGTTATACCACCATGCATCTAATTATTATTAATTTAAAAACTGTTTTTATGCAGTTGAAGGCAGAGACTGCACTTTATGTCCCTATAAAAGGTTGTGTAAGTGGCCCTAAATCTAATTTGCTAAATAAAGGGCAAGGACTGTTCATTTGTTAACACATTGCCCTCCTGAACAAATGTGAGGCATCTTTCCATTCCACTAGATTTTCAAACTGAGCTGAGGGACTCTTGACTGCAGGGGGTACCCCACCAGTTAGTCCTGGGGGCTCATCAGCCCTTAGGACCCCTAGGGACTGCCCCACCATTGGACATCCTGTTTTTACAACTGAAATTCAGCAACTGCAGCAGCTCTAAGGAGCCTACTAGAGCATCCCTTTGCACCACAGAGTCCTTTGAAGCCATAGTTGGTATGACACATTTGCTCTATGCCTCAGCATCTTACAGGAAGATGGTGTTGAAGATGAACCCGCCAAAAGCTTCTGATCACTGTGGGGAACTCTCTTTCGTAGGCATCGCCATTCCTCTGTGACCCAAAAATATGGAATAGTATGTTTGCCTACCAAACTAGAAAATAAGAAATGGAGTGCAGGAAGTGGAGAAATGTGCAAGCTTGACTTACACAAATGATGCCATAGAGCAGTGGTTCTTAACCTTGGGTAATCCAGGTGTTCTTGGACTGCAATTCCCAGAAGCCTTCACCACCAGCTATGCTGGTTGGGGCTTCTGGGACTTGCAGTCCAAGAACACCTGGGTTACCCAAGGTTAAGAACCACTGCCATAGAGTACCACTAGGAGTCAACAGAAGTAGAGCCAGGTAGTAGTAGTCCCTTGATGTGCATGTTCTTTGCATTGTTTGCTCACTTAGAAACTGAGACATTCAGAATTGAATTTGTTTTCTTCCACACACCTTTCCCTATCTCTTCTAGTCAGGTCGCCAGTGGTAGCAGATTCTACCTTCTCTCCCTCTAAGATTTGTAGTTCATAATGACAAAAATCCTCCTCATTGAAGACAGACTTTCAGCGATGGTTCCAAATGCCAGGTAACATGAAGTATGGCTGCTATTGCCATGGGTTATTATTATTATTATTATGAAACTGTTGCCTGGGGTGTACACACAAGAGGGTGATAATTCCTGTAGGGCAATTGAGGCTTTGCCCTAGGGCAGCTGTTCTCAACAGGGGTCATATGCCCCCCTGGGGAGCCCTGTCACATTTGAAGGGGACCACAGACTGGAAACAATTCTTCACACACCACTTTATATAAGGCTCGCTATGCAACTTACACAATTCTGATTTGGCCTATATTTCTTTCATATTATGTGCATGGCTGTGACAAAAAAAGTTGAGAATGGCTGTTCTAGGGCACTGAAATGTACAGGGGACCAGCACCTACAGGTGAATCTACCGATGTCTGTTGGGAAAATAAACAGTGACACTTCTCACCCTTATTCACATGAAAACATTTTTTTTACACCAGTGACTTTTTCTTTATTTGGGGGGGCACCACATTTCCCTCTTTTTTGACCTGATGGGAGCTCACGCCCATTTCACAGAGATGTGTGGGTGGGAGACAGTGCCCTTTGCCCAGGGTGCCAACATTTCTAGTTACAGCTCTGACATACAGGTAAGAAAAGTGCTGAGGCACCAAAGCCATGACCAAACTGAGGTCTTTTCCAGCGTCCAGCTGAGGGCTAGGAAAATAATATTGACCTAGAGATAAGACTTAATGTTTGAGTGACCTCATCTTTAAGATGTGCCTCAATTCCTGTAATAATTTTGTGCCATCAAGTTGATTCCCACTTAGAGTGACACTTTCCTGATTGTTTTTAGGTACAGAATACTCAGGAGTGGCTTATCATTCTGTTCTTCTTCTGAGGCTGCGCTGGGACTACGTAGCTTATTCAAGGTTACACAGCCTGGCCCTTCTCTCAGGAGACACTAAAAGGAATCAAACTCCCAACTTCCGGCTCTGTAGCCAGATACCTAACTCATTGAGCTATCCAATGACAATTCTAGATGGGAAGGAAAATGAAAGACGTAAGGAGCATTTTTTTCCCCTCAGCAATACTATCCTGGTTGAGGCCAACAATATGGTTTGTTGTCCTTACCTTGGCATGTGTGGCCATCTTCTGACAAAGCAAGGCCCCGTGGACACTCGCACTGGTAATTGTCTTCCACCATGACACAAGTATGGCTGCAGCCTCCATTTTTGTTGTGACACCCTTCAATCTCTAAGATAGACATAATGTACAAAGACATTACAAGCTTCATTGAACCCCTGGGTGAAAAGGGCAAGAAAGAACCAGTGTGGAGCTGTGGTTAAGTATTGGATTGGAAAAAAAAACTGGGTTCAGAGGGCCACTTGAACAGGAAACCCATTAGCTGGTTTTGGGTCAACCACCATCGCTCAACCTAATCTACATGACCAGGTTTTTGAGGATAAAAATGAGAATGAAAACAATGGGAGTAAAATATAACAACTAAACAAAATAAAATGTAACCTATAACTAAATAATAAATACAGGATTTGCTGGCAACAGTGCAGAAAGATCACTGTCTCCTCAGACAGAAATGTTCAGGGGGCCCATCAGGATATTTTTATATCCATGGTGATGTGAGTACAAATCTTCCTGTTTGATTCCCTCTCTCACTAAAGTGATCCCTGCCAAGCTGATGTGCTGAATATGAACTTATTTAACCATGCATTACAGAGGAAGCAGTGGAAGAGAAATTCAGTCAAGATTTCTCAGACTCCAGTAATTGCTGTTGTTCAAAAATAAGGGTTGTGAGCCTCAATCTTGATACGGGTCCCTCTTGTCAAGAGTCATTTAAACTGGGGCTCTGGTCACATGTGGGGAATGTTTTCTAGTTCTTCCGATAGCTTCCATACCTCTGTTGTACTGAACTGTGGTCATGTGGTTTATATCCCGGGACAAATGTCCCAAGAACTTTTAGCAGTAGTGATTAATTTCCTCCAGTTTGAATCATTATGGCTGACTATACCATGGTACCAGTTTATTTTCTGTCTTGCTTCAAGGGGCAATTTAGCCCTTTGTTTTTTATAAATATATCAGAAACAAGTCTCCCTCTAAGGTGCACAACGGCGCAAGCGAGCTTGACTCTGTCCCCCCTCTGCACAGCTTTCCACCTCCCCCGCTCACCCATAGCTTTTGTTTCTCACCCCTTTTGTTCCAGTTGCAATGGAACACAATGCGGGGGTGGGGTTGGAAAAGGGGGTGGTGGAAATTAGAGGCAACATAAATTGGAAAGGGGTTTCTCTTTAGAAAAGTATCCTCTCTTGCACTGGCTGCTCCTGCAGAAATGCACTGCACACAATGGACTTGGAATATCTACACAGCAGTACTAGCAATCACACCCCCCATGACATTGGCCTAACAGTTCAATGTATATTCCCATAGAAATAAATAAAAATTATTACTCTCCAGTAATGTAATGGTGGTAGGGCCCCCTGTAAAAGTATCCCATAGTACTGGTGAACTAAATTATATTCAAAAACCAATCGAGATTTCTTTATACACATTCTTGAACTTCTCACAAAAGAAACCAGTTTTCATTGTTCAACCTGGAGCAATAGGGGTTGGCAAAGGAAACAGGCAATTATTGCGATAGAATTACTGGACTTTAATTATTATATTGTTATTATAGCTATTTTGATTGTTTATTGCCTTATTAAATGATCATTACTTACTGTATGGTTTTATCATTGTAGTTATGTTATGGTTGTATTTTAACTGGTTTTGACTATTGGAATGTGCTCTGGTATAGAGCGCAATATAAATGATGATGATGATGATGATGATGTGTCCACTGCACTAATGGCAGCCACCTTCCTAGCTTCAATTCTGAAAAAAGTGGGACAGGTCGTGCATACAGGTAATCCCAGTAAGGAGTGCACCAGTACAAAAAAAACAAAACAAAAACAAAAACAAAACAAAAAACAAAATAACACAAGCCTCCTGGCAATTGGAAAATGTTCCGCAGTTTCACCGCTAGCCAGGAAAATGTCTTGACTCTGCGTTGTGTAACCAGGAGGAAAAACACCGACATAATTGGTGGATAACTATATAACATTCCCCTTGTGTGACCAGGGCCTGGGTGAAGGACAGAACTGAGAGAAATTATTGCACTTATAGAGCATGGTTAATCATCCAAACATTGGAAGCGTACTCACTGACAAATAATATTTGAATTAGTGGCCCTAGTTTGTTTGTCAGGATCTCACTACTCTGAAATTATAAAAATGATTAAACCCCAAGTCTTTCTTCAAGAGTTTATGGTCATGCAATGGACTGTTGGAGTGGCTTACGAAGTGAATTATCTCTTTCCCAGAATGGCCCATCAGTAAATATGACGCAGACAGATGCACATATATTGCTCAATAAATTTCCCAAAGAGCCTTACGTGGGGTGGGGGGGAATGGCTCCTCTTACTTCAGTTTAAAGACTACCTATAAACTTTCCTATGTTTTCAGATAAAGGAACAATGTTTTTTCTTAATGCAAGCAGGACAAGGAAAATAGATGCTACCAGTCCATTTCCTCAAAAGGCCAGGAACTGGGAAAAAGAAATAGCAAGCCCGTGAATGCATCTGAAGACTCTTGATGCCTTCCATGGTTAGACCAGTAGCCTGTTCAACAGCTACTCCCTGTCAGCATCCTTGTGCTTAGACATTAGTTTAAAGAACACACGTCTTTCTAAAAATTGCCAATAGGGTAATGGACTGAAAATGCTGATTACTAGGTCCCTAGGCAAGGAGAAGAAATCTAACCTGATCCTGCCCTTCCTGAGAAAAAAACCGCCTTGGATACTGCCTTTTGCAATGTGAAGATATTGCCTACTAGTGAAGCTTTAGGGCAAGGATTATCTGCAGGATGCAACAGGAAAAGAAAGTGTTAAAACTATCCGTGCCTGATCTACCCCAGTAATTAACAGCACTTCCAGCTGATGCTGTCTGCAGTTTTAAAATCTGCTGTTGGATGCAAAGATGCATTTAATACATCCAGTTCCCCCCCCCTTCACTACACACATCATAAAATATAAAATTAATTTATAGTCAGGATACATCCAGCTGGTCCCCTCTACACCATTTTTCATGCTCATTTTATATAGTTTTTTTAAAAAAAATATTCTAAAACTATTTTCTGTAATAAAATTGTGCTGCTTCCTAAGCAATGATGTTTAGCATCACGGCAGCAGAAATAAACTCCATTTTATTTCTGTGGACACAAATCTATGGTTACAGTCAAATCAGGGTGAGGAAACTTTCACCCTCCTGATGTTTTAGTCTTCAACTCCAATCAGCCCTAGCCAACATGACCCATGGCAAGGCGTCATGGGAACTGCAGTGGGAAAAAAAATCTAGAGGGCCAAAGTTTTCCTGTTTCTACTGTCTCCAGAGTATTTCTCTTCCTCTCTTTTTTTAAATGAGGGACAAGCAAATCCCCCCAACCCCCAATGTATTAAAAATGTGGAAGAAATTGTAAAACATGGAATGGTGGTGAAGGAGGAAAGACAAGGAGAATTTTAGTTTAATAGATGTGTCTGTCTATCTCCACATGCTCCACTGGGTAAAACCAGGAAGTTCAAGGTCAATTGACTTTTGATCCACCGGACATTCATGGTAGCCCCTAACGTGTGACTCACTTCCTGTTGTTGAGGCATAAGCAGCAAGGTGTCGAGATATTTTACCCCGTTTGTCTTGCATAAAAGCAGCCTCAATGAACATCCACTAAGCTGTTTATGCAGGGTGCTCTTCAAACATGCTGGACATTATCAGATGCTCCTGCTGGCGGTGAATCTTAAAAGTCTGTGATGCAATGATCAGAATCAATCGACATCTGTGGTCAGATGTGTCATTTCATGAAGATACATTTGCTCCATTGTCTCCATACTCACCTTCACAGGTCTTTCCATCCTTCCCCAGCACGCGTCCAACTCCACATTCACAACGGTAGGAATTCTTCAGGTTGATGCAGATCTCACTGCAGCCTCCATTGTTTCTTTCACATTCATTTTCATCTATAGAGAGATAAAAATTCCAACTCTTCTTTCAGCTACAGGCAGCTGGTACTGAGGACTTGGTACATGCAAGCCACTTATTCTTTTTATCCATGTGGCTTGAACCCATTATTTTTAAAGGGGACTTTGACTGGTCATTGTCTACAGTACTTCCTATTATGTTTTATCACAGATTTTGTGATTTTTTTAAAGCAACTACAATTCCAAGAATTCCCAGCCAGAGTGAGAGTTGTAGTCCAAGAAAGCAACATTTCTGCCAAAGAGGACATGACCATGGCCAAAGTGATGTTCTCTTCCAAGGTGCTTTTTTTTGCAAGCAAATCATTCAGGGACAAATAGCTGATGAGGCCTCTATTATTCACTTCATCTGATTGGTCACAGTCTAAAAGCCATGCAGCTCACTTCAGATACAAAGCAATGAGCGGCCTGTCATTGACAATGATGTTTGGGCTTGTCCTTTCTAACCAGGACTGAGCAAGATGGTTTGAAATTGGACGGGTAAGTCTTCTCGGACATAAAGAACAAAGATTTAAAAAGGGTGCCCAGGTGCTAATCACCCCCCACCATCAATGCACAGTTGAAACTAATTTTCTTCCTACCAGTGGGTGACTTACATTGTCTTCCTTTGGATTAATAGCTTGCTTTGGTAGCAACGTATTGGACTTCTGCCTGGAGTCATACGCAATGCTCTTAGTTTTGATGGGTTTTAATGTAGTGTTCAGCCGTTGGCTGGGATTACTGCCTAGCCTTATGATGGGAGAGTGAGCAAGCACTGATTAATAACTTCGCATATCACCTGCTTTGTACATTTAGGGTTTTGATGGGTTTTAATGTAGTGTTCAGCTGTCGGCTGGGACTACTGCCTAGCCTTATGATGGGAGAGTGAACAAGCACTGATTAATAACTTCTCATATCACCTGCTTTGTACAAGCCTACTTGCTTAGGATTGATTGTGGTTTGGTCATTTCAATGCGGCATCTCTTAGGATTGATTGTGGTTTGGTCATTTCAGTGCGGAGTGAGGAGGGGCAAACATTTTATCAGGGCTGTTCCTGACTCTGTTAAATAAATTAGTCCCTTTCAAATTGTAGCAATTTAACTATTCACTTTTTCACCAGTCACTTCACACAGCTTTTTTATGGGACCTGCAGCTCAATAAGGTTCACACTGTGTTTTCCAAATGATTTCTTTTGTCTTTCACAGTCCTATTTTGTACCTTCGTCTTTTCTTTTTCTCCAGCAATCTCTTTCTAGTGCTTTCTTCCTTCTTTGTCATGCCTCTTCATATTTAGCTTATGTTTTGGCTATCAAGAGGCAAGCACAAACTTAGAAAAATCCATTTGATAATAGCAGGTAGTGGGAAAGTACTGATTGTGAATTCGGCTGAATTATGAAACAGCAGGAAGGGGAGGAAGAAAATCTTCATCCACAGTCTGTTTATTCCTCCCTTTAAATCAGTGGTTCCCAACCTTGAGTCCTCAGATGTTCTTAAATTAAAACTCCCAGAAGCCTTCACCACTACCTGTACTGGCCAGGATTTTTGGGAGTGGTAATCCAAGAACATCTGGGACTCAAGGTAGGGAAGCATTGCTCTAAATCCTACTATGGTACTTTCTTGTTACAGCTTGTATATCCTTACCAAGACATGTCTGTCCATCTGGTCCCAGTGTTGTCCCCAAAGAGCACAGACAGTCTCCAGTGTCCAGACAGGAGCCTCGACAATCAACCACATCACAGATGTCATAGAAATCTGCAGAACGACAAAAGAAGTAATAGTCCCATGTTCTCTGTTAAGTTAATAGTATGGAAGGTAAGAGTCGAACTGGATACAACATAATCAGGCCTGAAGATTCAAATCCAATTGCCACAAATTCTTGTAAATGAATCCTTCCTTTCCCCACTTCTATCCCCCAAATAGATTTATATGAATCATATTTATATGTAGGATCCAGGAAGTAAAGCAGCCATCTTCAGGGGGAAAAAATCCTGGGAAGAAGATTTAGAACGGGGAGAAGGACTGAGCCTCCCTCTCCTTTTTGTCACCCGTGTTTCACTTTAAATTAGGCCCACACTCTGCTTTATAGTTATTCAAGAAGTTTGTGTTCCTATAACATCTCCTGTGCCCCTAAAGCAGATTACAAGGGGAATATCAAATGACAGGGATATGGTGTCGGCAATTTTTAGTATTTTATCCATGTTTATTCATCCTTTCATGAAATTGTCCTCAATTATAATGGTAATACATTCCACATGACATGTGCATTATACAAGCTTGAGTCTGTTATAATTTTGAATCTTGGTGCAATATATAACGTTTATAATGAGATGTAACAAATTATGGCAATGATACCTTAAATAAAAGTTAGTGGATAATCAGTGGATAATAATTAGTGATATGATACTGGCTAAAATCCTCTTGTGTTGTTAAAATGGAAGTAGGGAGGTGACAAGGTCACGACAAATAGTCACTAATTAATGAGTCCCTGCTTGGATTCCTAGTCATACATCAAGCCATTTGATTGGTGCACCATGAAGAATCCAAGTGGGGACTTGTTAATTATTGGCAATTTGCAACTGTGAGTTAATGCCAGTTCCCTTCCACCATAATTATGCAAATAACAACTTGTCCCAAAGCAAGCTGAATACTCATTTTACTCATCTGGAAGGCTGAATCAACCTTGAGACAGCTACCTGAACCCATCAATATCAAACTCAGGCCATGAACAGAGGCTTTACTGCAGTACTGTAGTTTAACCACTGTGCCACGGGCTTCATCTCCATGTTTTGAACTTACATACCGCCTCACATTGCAATATTCAGGTAAAAGTTAGCAATGATTCAGTGTCTCCCCACATATAGGTGAGATAATTTCTCTTATTCAGTTCTTTATTTAAAATTATGTACATCTAAGATTCCTTCCCAAAGGAAATCAGAGCAACATACTCCGCAAACCGCAAAATGGGATTTTCATCATTTTGCAAACAATTTACAGACAACACAGCTCACAATAGGAAGAATACCTCAGTAGATTCAAAAGTCTGACTGAAAAGAAATCGTGTAACTTCCTTTTAAATTATAGTCAGGGAAGAGAGTTCCAGAAGCAGGGTGTGGATGGGGCAAAAAAAGAGGTGCCCTCTCACAGACATATTATTGTTATTGTGTTATAAACACTTGGAGGGATACCTCTTTGTTTGAAAAGCAGTGGCAGTCCAAATGGCCATTTCTAACCTGGTTATTCAAGGTGCTTCTACCCTAATAATGAAAAGCCAGCTTGTCCTGAACATCTTTGACTTATTGATTTGCTTTGTTCTAGTCCCAGTTTGATAAGTCTTTGAGTAGAAAGGGAGGAAATCCATACATTTCTCCTGCACAGAAGGAAAAAGCATTCCCAAGGTCAAACATTTATAGTAAGATTACAACAGTTTGTACCTGTCTTCTGATGATTTGCTGGAAACTCACCTAACTCCTTCAACTACCTCGATGGCCAGAATCCTACTTGCTTTCATGTAAGGCTTGTGCAATTTGCCGTGAATAATTGCAGTTAATTGACAGGGTACCAGGACACATCCTGGCCATGTACTTGATCATGTGCCCACTAAGATGTGTCTTGGTACCTTGGCAGTTAGCTGTAATTAGCTGCAGCAGACACTCAAACCTTATGCTGGCTTGAATAGGATTCTGGCAAAGATTATTTATTTACATTTTTAAAATCTGTCAGTGCTCCGGGATAATTCAAGGCACTGCAGACTGTATGTCATCATGCAAGTGCCTCCTGTAACGCATAAATCAAACTGTCATTATTACTGTATCAAAGACAGTGCTTGTATATTGCTGTATGTGAGAATCAGACTGGAAGGCTGAAATTGTGATCTCGGCAGTAAAAGACATGTCTGCTTCTCTTAGATGGAAAAGATTTTAATTCAAAGTTAAGAAAACAAGCTGTCACGTTCCCAGGGGTTACAACAGCCGAAGTCCGATAAACCAGTCCAAGGTCAGGAATACCAAGAATGCAAAGCCGATAACCATGTACCAAACCAACTCACAGAACGTAGTCCAAGGTCAGAGTCCAGAGTCAGGAACACGGTTCAAGGTTGTAGGAGCGTGGATGCTAGCCAGAGGTTTTGACTTGTTGCTTCCACAGAAATTCTAGCTGAATAGGAGCTGCTGGAAACCTTTCCATCCTGTCAATACTCAGGGCTAGTTGCACAGATGTTTCTGTGGACAGCCTTCAAGCGATCCTCTGACCTTTTTGCCATAAGTCTTCCCTGAAGCCTGGCCCGAAGCTTGTCTGCTGAGGAAGGAGAATCTGGAGGCAATTCAGGTGTTTCTGATTGCTCAGCATTCTCCTCAGCCTGAGTTAACCCTTCCGGTTCCAGGTCTTCAGCTGCACTCATGACACAAGCTCCTCTGTTTTTCATGTTAGTTTCAGTTAATCAGTTGTATAAGAACATTGAAGTTGTATTCGGTAATAATATCAGACAATTCAAATCAATTATCCAGATGGTTTTGTCCATGGAGAGACAGAAGGGTTTCCTAAAGGTGTTAGACAAGGGTGTATTTTATCCCTTTATCTGTTCAATCAGTACACAGAACATATACGGAAAGCTGGACTGGATTCAGATGAAGGAGGAGTGAAAATTTGTGGGAGAAATATCAATAATTTAAGATATGCAGATGACACCAATTTACTGGCAGAAAACAGCAATGACCTGAAATTATTTTTAGTGGAAATTAAAGAAGAAAGTGCCAAAGCAAGACTGCAGTTGAATAAAGGTAAAGGTAAAGGTTCCCCTTGACAATTTTTTGTCTAGTCGTGTTCAACTCTAGGGGGCGGTGCTCATCCCTGTTTCCAAGCCATAGAGCCAGCGTTTTGTCCGAAGACAATCTTCTGTGGTCACATGGCCAGTGCGACTTAGACACGAAATGCTGTTACCTTCCCACCATGGTAGTCCCTATTTATCTACTTGCATTTGCATGCTTTCGAACCACTAGGTTGGCAGGAGCTGGGACAAGCAACGGGCGCTCACTCCCTTGTGTGGATTCGATCTTACAACTGCTTGGTCTTCTGACCTTGCAGCACAGGCTTCTGCGGTTTAGCCCACAGCGCCACCACGTCCCAGTTGAATACTAAGACACAAATCATGACTATACAGCTTTAGCATTGACAACAAATATATTGAAATAGTGAAAGATTTTGTATACCTTGGTCAATCAATGCAAATCTACAGTGCAGCCAAGAAATCAGAAGACTGAACTAGGAAGGGCAGCAAGGAAGGATCATCAAGTGTAGGCTGTATCATTGTAGACCGAAACCAAGGTCATCCACACTCATGTGTTTCTGATCACCATGCATAGTTGTGAAAGCTGGACAGTTAAGAAAACTAACAGGGTGACAGGTTTGAGCTAAACCTGGTGGAATTGTTAAATACAGTTTTGTACTAAAGCAATAAGTATTTGTAAGGATCATTGCTGTAGAAAGAAGCAAAGCAAGAATTTATACAGCTGAGGTAATTGTAACAGCTGAGAGAGCAATCCCAGGACTGGCTATCCTTGGGATAAAGCTAACACACACTCTGTGGGTTGGTGGTATCGTGGATTGCTGTTGTCGTGTTGTTGTGCTGGAGTATCCTGGAAGAAGCCGTGTCTTTGTGCTGTATATTGGGAGAAGAACTCTGGCTACTGGACTGAACATATGGTATTTGACTGCTGAACTAATTTACAAGGACTTTGACTCTGATTTATGCATAGAATTCTGTGGAAACTGCTGTATATGACTTTGGGACTGGAAACACGAACTAAGCTGTACAGTACATGTATGTATATATCCTATAAATAATACAACTACTCTGCTATCAACACTGCTTTATTGCTTGGCGTCTTCATCTCTCAGGGAAGTTTTTCTACTGGTTAGCTCCACCTGGTGTATCCTGGCAATACTGCAACTCTGTCACAGGGGGAAAGTGATTTATTTGAAATGTGGTGCTGGAGGAGAGCTTTGCAGATACTCTGGACTGCTAGAAAGACAAACAAGCAAGTCCTACATCAAATCAAGCCTGAAATCTCCGTGGAGGCAAAAATGTTGAAACCAAGGCTGTCCTACTTTGGGCACATCATGATAAGGAAATATTCTCTGGAAAAGACATTACTGCTGGGAAATGTGGACGTCAGCAAGAAAAGAGGAAGACTAAATACAAGATGTACTAACTCTTTAAAAGAATCACAGGCTTGAATTTAGAAGAACTGAGCTGGGCAACTGAGGACAGAACATTCTAGAGATCACTTATTCAAATGGTCGCTATAAGTCAGAGGTGACTTAACAACCACCGCAACCACAACAACAGAATACATGCCAGGATTCAAAGAACTACTTCAGCTATTCCTATGATAACCTTAACCAGTCTTCTGTAGATATGTTAAGGTATGACTCCCATCATCCTCAGTCAGCCATGGAAATGGGACACAACCATGGGACACAGTGTCTGAGGATTTGTAGTCTCATACAATGAGAAGATATCAAGACATGCCTAGTAGAACTTAATTTTTTTCTTCCCTTTGAAGTTATTTATTACAATACTTCATGCCACCCTTCCTCCAAGGAGTTCTGGGTAGTGTACATTACCCTCCCCTTCCACAACAACAATTTTATCTTAAAATAAATTATGCTTAGAATTGGTGGGGTAACTAAATCAGTGGCTTTCCATATGCTGCTGGACCTCAGCCGCAGAGTCTCTAGCCATTGGCCATGCTGGCTGGGAATTCTGGAACTGAAGTATGCCAATATCTTGGGGACCCAAGGTTGAGGACCACTGGTCTAGATTATTCAGTGAGACTGATGGTTGAGCAGAGATTGGAAGGCATATCGTCTCCAGTTTTCTCCAATTTCATGGCAGGTTCTAGATCCACAACAGGAAATCCAATATATGTATTTATCACTTTAAGGAGCAGTTGCACAGGAAGGGTGAATATGATACATACAAATTTTTTAAATTAAATTTAAATTTACATTTTTAGTAATAATGTTTTTTCCTTAAGGGAGCTGTTTGCACTGGGCCAACAGTATGGGTGAAAAGCTTAACCTCCTCCTGGAGCCTCTGTGGCATAGTCACCAGGTAGATCAGCCCTCCTGTTTTCCAGCTTTGGCATAGTAAGAGTAGGCCTATTTGAATCCATGCAAATTATGGTGGGAGGTAACTCTTCAAATCCCCTTTGATTCAATGGGTCCACCCTTGAGTGATTTTATTAGGCTAAGCAACAGGATTTTGCTTAAGCTCTCTCAGCCTCACATACCTCACAGGATTATGAGAATAAAAGATGGGAGGAAGATGGTCATGTATGACACCTTGAGCTTGTTAGAGGTAAAGTGAGGATGTAAATATAAAGAATACAATTAAATTTACAAGCAAGCCAATGCTATCATCATTGTGACCACCATCTCCATTAAATCTGCAGAACATGCCATTGATTCAAGAGTTTGTAAACTGCCCTGAGAAGTATGTTGAATGGTTTGGTATGTAAGGTGCTAAAAGAAAACAAACGCATCAGCCAATCCACCGATAGAAATACATCTCTCAAAAAGTGAGGTTTGTGCTGCTTCTGAAAAGTCGCAAGATGCCCCTCCTTAGGGGGCAGAATTATCCCAAGAAGAAGATGCCATAAAAGAAATGGAGCAATGCCGAATGTTTCTAGCTTCACCTTGGCAGAGGAGGAAACCTTGAACAGAGCCTCCTCAAGCTGGTTATAATAGGCATGGGGGAATTGTTTTCCAGAAGAAATAAATTACTGAAAAGATTTCTCAATTAGGAACTATAAATACCAATGAGCAACACAACGGGAACCCATTAGCTTGATTGCCTGGAGATGCAAAGCTGAATCAGAAATTCAGTTTTCAGAGTCTCTATGAAAGTGAGGGAAGCTTCAATTTTTATTGGTCTTTGGTCTTTTAGTGTGTTGGCAGTTGTGTATGAAAAGTCCCTTCTGTGGATTCAGTGCTTCACTGAAGGTATTTTTCACATATGACACCAAAATCACCTTAGAGTACTATTTATATGCATGAGTGCATATGGTTCATTTGGGAGCGAAAGCAGAAGAGAGTCATTTAAAAATGCAATATATATTTGGCTCACTGTAGACTTTCTTATATCTCCATTGCAAATGTGGGAAACGCAAAACACACTTTGTTCTACATTGGAAAAGAAACACTAAGAAGAAGCTGGGTGCACTTATTCTGGTGCTCTTGACGGTGCTCAAATGTACTTGAATCTCAGCACTGAAACCAGACCCTGGAAGCTTTTTGGACTATATTTGTTAGGGCTTTCCTCGGCTAACTTGCCATGTGGCCATCTCAAAACCATAATCTTTCCAAGCTCTGGCAGAATCATGGTCTCATCTTTTCTGCCCCTACTGCTGTGTGGTTCAAGCATCTGCTTGGTCACAGAATCCCGGAGTCCAAGGTGAGGATGTTTCAGGGAACTATCTGGCAAGAGGGTGCAGAGCAAAAGAATGTATTCGTATTTGTCTACATGAGCAACATTACAGCTGGTTCTGCTGTCTGCGACACTTCTGGTCATAAGGGGCCTGATCTGGCACACAGGAGGAGCCTGACTTTTTCCTTTAAAGGTAGGGCTCAGAATTGGTAGGCCTTGTACGGTCGGAATGGCACTGATCCTCTGGACCTGGTCTTCTTGACAGACACATCACTTCTCTTCCGGGAATTAATCTCGGTGTATCTGGAGCAAGGTATGTGTCAGTGACCTCTCAGAGTGGTCTGATTGCCACCTAAGCTTTCCATACCCATAAAGGGAATGTCAACATCTGCTGACTTCCTCTGATTCCCATTCTTACTAGAGCCAACAAAGGGGTTCCCCTTCTCTTTTTGTTTCTGAGTGGAACCTGCCAGGAACATTGTGGGAAACAACAATAGGGTAGGTCTTGCAGGGTTCTGTCTTCTCAAAAGTGGAAGGACAGAGCTGGAGGAGCTGGCTGTGGAGCTACAGGTCAGGAGTTTGATGCTCCATTGTATCTCCTGGGAGAGGAACCAGAGTGCGTGGCCTTGGACAAGCTGCACATTCCCAGAGTTCCCCCAGAAGAGTTCTGTCTTCTCAAAAGTGGAAGGACAGAACTGGAGGAAATGGCTGTGGAGCCACAGGTCAGGAGTTTGATGCTCCACTGTATCTCCTGGGAGAGGAACCAGAGTGTGTGGCCTTGGACAAGCTGCACAGTCCCAGAGTTCCCCCAGAAGAAGGGGAGGGAAACAACATCTGAGTACTTTATACCTAGAAAACCCTGGAAAGATTTACCATAAATTGGAATTGACCAGATGGCACCTTATTATTATCTATTATTACAAACTGTAGGGATGGCACATGATCAGGATGTGTCACATTTCTCTGATGTGCAGGTAGGTGAAAATCCAGGGAGTCAGGAAGAAGGGCAGATGGCAAAAAGAAGAAAACAGAGATTGGATTTGGAAGGATATGAGAACAGCCAGATTATGCAGCCGGAATGGACACTGGTAGTTGTACAGTGGACCCTCTACTTACAGAATTAATCTGTATTGAAATGGTAGCTGCAGGTCAAAAAGGCTTGAGGCCCAGCAATGCACTGAAAACCGATTAATCCATAACCAGCCGTTTTTGTTCCGTTTTTGTTCCATTTTGGTTTTTTTCTGGCCTGTAAGTCGATTCTCCGGCTGCAAGTCAAACTTAAATTTTGCAGCCAGAGAAGTCTGTAACTCGAAAAGTCTGTAAGTCAAGCTGTCTGTAAGTCGAGGGTCCACTGTAGTCCAAAAGATAACATTTTTAGAATCTGGAAGAAAGCATTCAGGGAAGGACTAGATCTGTTGTGTCTGTGTTCTGGGAATTTAAGCACACATACACACATAGGCACACACACATTTCTCTTTGCAACCTAGAATGGTCAATTCAAGACCACATGGTGATGTTTTCTTGATCATGTATCTTACTTTTTAAAAGCATCACAGTCCCCAAAGTTACCCTTACATGGCCACATGTTTTGCTGAAAGCAGTGTCAGAACAGCCGGTCTGTTGGGGATACTTACGTCCACAGTAGGCATGGTAGCAGACACTTGGTTTGTTTAAATGATACACATAATAGCCCCCTGGACAGGCCTTGACCTCCACAGTTGTGTTCCAGAGGCAGCAGTTTCCATTAAAGGTTGCACAAGCCTGCCTTTGGACAATGCCATCTGACTCTTGAGGGTGGCTGCCGTTCAGCCAGACAGGGGCATGGGTCCCACAGTGGTTCTCAGGGATGCAGAAGGTGGGCATGGCATCGCCCGCCATCCCTGTGAAGCGATACCATTCTCCATCAACATGGCTGTCACACTCAGGCTGGTCGACAGAATCATTGAACTGGTATTCAGTATTCCTCCAAGGTTCATTCAGACTAATGTAGGCAGAGCAAGGATCAAGAGCTGGAATACAGAAGAAAAACAAGCCAGTCGTCAGAAGAATACATGCATGAACGGATGGAAATTAAGATGAGAAACTAAGCACATGCCAAGCCAGTCGTCAGAAGAATACATGCATGCATGAATGGATGGAAATTAAGATGAGAAACTAAGCGCATGAAAAGGCCAACCATTAGTTTTGTACTCTTGGGGATCATTTGGTTGTTCACACAAAGGATAGGCAGCCCCTATAATCTGTAATCATGGACTGCAACTCCTATCATCTATCACCATGGTCAGGGTGGCATGGGCTTCTGGGAATTGTAATCTAAACTGTCTGAATGGCACCACATTGCCTACCCGTGTACCACAGCTGTAAATCCCATAAACTGAAAGTGGCTCAATAACTGAAAGTGCACTTGTAATCTAAACTGTCTGAATGGCACCACGTTGCCTACCCGTGTACCACATAATGGCTCAATAACTGAAAGTGCATTGTGTGTCAGAGTCACAAACTAGTGTCCTCATCCACAATTGCAACATAGGAGGAAATATGGTATCAGCCTGCTATAAGGGATCCCCAGTGACATGGTGCATGCTCTCAAACATATTGGCCAAACTCTTATCACTTAGGGTAGTAGGTTGCACTAGAGTAGGCCCATTGAGATGGTGGGAATTTGGTGAGTCAATTCCTCTGTAAATTCTGTTGATTCAAATAGGCTGACTCTAACTGCAGCTTTCTATACCAAAGTAAGTCACCGTTAAGTAGGCCCATTTGAATTCATGAAACTTACAGCACTGACTCAGCAAATTCCCATTGATTCAGTAAGCCTACTCTAATATGATTTTCTACCCTAAGCAATAAGATTTTGACCAACATGTCAATTTATTTACATCTTAGTATAGAACTGAAGACAGGTGCACTTTAAAACTGTGTCATATTATCGAAGTGATCTCAATCCTCCTCCCTATGGCCCTGGTGCAGGTAATGCCCCGCCTCCATTATATGAGCTTCTTGAAATTGGGAGGAATTTCATTTCAGGGAGCATTCAGCATGTGGAGGAGACAAGGCGTATTGCGCATGAAGTCTTTATGGGATTTACAGCTGTAGTACTTTGTGGCATTGGACTGTAGTTCTTAAATGAGAAACCAATGAGTCCACAGGATTATTTTTGGACTGTGTGTGTGGAAATGGAATATAAGTATAATTTGGGTGTATAGATTGTTCCGCATAACACAGGATATCTGAGTATGTTAAAATAATAATTTTAGGATTCAAGGGAAATAAGTGCCCCCCTGGTGACAAAGGCAATACACTTTCTTCTCCAGCTTCCTGGCTAGTAGAGTTCATCTACAGAACTTGGAAATACTGCTTTTTAGACTACAAGTCACAGAATCCCCTAATCAGCACAGCTTGTCACCATATCGGCAGGAGGACTCTGGAAGTTATAGTCTAAAAAGGAAACATTTTGGGGTTCTGGTCTCTCAAGTTTTCTAAACAAGGAGAGCTCTTTTATAGCGGAGCAATAAAGAAAGAATGTAATAAAGTGCCGTGATGGATCCGTAGAGACAGGGGAACCTATACGATTTCTGTCACCACAGAAGATGACCTGTTTCTCCTTATCTGAGTAGGGGGAGGGGCTCATGGAACAACATTAGTCTCCCTCTAATTTGTAGGTCCGTTAAGGAATATGTGGGCGACGAATCCATAGGCCTGCAGGGCTCAGGTGTTTTAAAAGTCACCATTCTCATTACCTCAAGTCACACCTGAGCTGCCTGTCACCAGCCAAGGCTGATAGGATGAAATTAGTGTGACTTTCCATCCAGCTCTTCCTCGTTCATACACGGATCAGATGAATCTTGCAAACTAACTTCAGCGGCCAGTTCTTACTTTTCTTTCTCTTCCATCTTCCTCCCATGTCCTTTTATAATGAACTTCGCTTAATTGGGTGCTAAGGAGGAGATGTGGCATTTCAAGCCCTGCCTGTATCTTGAAGCAACCTGCCGTGGAAGCTCAGTGTTACCTGCAAAGGACATTGGAGTCATTCTGTTCCGAACAAGCAGGCTTTCATAAAATTTGAAATGATTTAAATTGGAGACTGCCAAAGAGGGGGGAAATGCAATGAAAATATTCATTTCACTTTTCATTGGGGCTGTATTTAATCTTCCCATTGCAGCTTCGGCAGCGAAAGTTTTCAGCTGAAATCTTTGCATACATTTAACACCTGATTAAGCACCAGTTAACCATGACGGGCTGTGGCCACCATTAAAGCAGGATTTATGCTAATATTTTTCCGACTAAGGCAAATTCATTACTTTTCATTACACTTAACACTAAAAGAAAAAACCCCAATTGCTTTAGTTAAGCAGTTCAAAACTGAGAGAGAGAAAAAGGCATTTTCTTTTCTTTTGAGATCTGATTTCCCACTGGGCTGCTGGTGTGTGATTTAATTTTAATAATTTTAGGATTTGCATGATACTGCTGGCATCATCTGAAAAATAAGGATGGATTGTAACCTAATGAAAAAATACCACGGATGAAGATGAAGTGTGACTGCTGACTGGTTATTATTGCCTCATTAGCCTGGGGCAGAGGTTACTGCAGTGGCAACAATTCATTCTTTCTGTGGTTTGTGTTCAAGCAATGAGTGCCGTGTCATAGGAAACAAAATAAGTCCGGGGGGGGGAACACTAAGGATTGGGGGTTACCACTAAAGCAGCCCAAGGAAGACTGCCTGCCTTTGGTCACAGAATATGATTTGACATGTCAGAGTTGAGGACAGAAAACTGGATGGAAAGGGGAACTGAACAGAATACATGGCTGGCTGGACCCCCCCCCCCGATCAAGAGCACTCCACGCAGCAACACTTTGTTGCAGGTCCCGCTTGACACTCTGAAGGAGAACCATTATTAGTTTGGCTTAGAGGGAACCCCTCCTCCCGAAATGGATGTGTGAGAATGGATTCTGATGACAGGGATGAACCCTTTTCTTCTGTGACAGTTTTGCGCTCAAATCTCAACATCCCTCTCTCTGCAACTGCTGCCTCCCCTTCAGTGGGGAACCTCAGCTACTAAAACACATCACTGCAATAAAATGACATGATTGTGGGGCATTTGCATAACCAAATCACGGAATGGATCCAAGCCTTTTTCTTTTTTAAAAATTTTTTTAAACAAGGGGTGACAAAAAGGAAAAAGGGAATTGAGGTTCAGAGGGAAGAGGAGAAACAATATTATACTAACATCCATTCTATACATATTGCCATATCAAAATTTCAAATTACTCTTTTTACTATTTTCTGCCTTCCAGGTTTAAGTTCTCATTTCAGATCCAAGGTTTTTTCTTTTGAAGCTTGCACAAGCATTGCTTTCTGCCACTGACATTTCTCAAACCCCATTTGAAAGTGTGGCTTTGAGCCCACAGATATCCCATGCATCACCATGCCTCGTGTTTCAACTGCATCTTTATGAGAATGTGGCTTAGTGGTAAACCTTCAAGTGACAACATGAGAATGTATTTCTGCCACTTCCAACTCTCCTTCAGGCAAGAAACACTCATGTGTGACCTTCAGTCAACCTCTGTCTCAACAATTTCCTTGGTTTGTCCCCGGTATGAGTGAGATCCGAGCCATTCCCTTTGATTTATTTGTTCATTTTGAGAAAGACATACATTCCATGCTTGCCACAGACCACTATGATACTTCACGAAGAAGATATGACTAAGGAAAGATGGTATTCATGATATTAGATACAGGAAGATGGAATCCCGATTGCCCACAAGCACAGAACTTGTTGTTGCTGTGAAAACACAAGATACCTGCAGTGAAAATGCCAGCATAACTCTAGACTGCATACAACAAAGAGGTGACTTTTGTGCACTTCACTGCATGACATCCCACTTGGGTGCCCTGAAAGGAGGACAAGTACATTGCCTGCTCCAGCTTCTAATGAACAGCTTTGCCATCTACTCACCGACTGTATTCTCCTGTAAGGGTTGTGCTTTAGTACCGAGGCAAAAAGTCCAAAGCAGGAACAGGAACATCCTCACAACATCAAAATAATCCTTTTATAACCGCACGTTATGGATTCACTTAGACAAACCAGCCGATCACACCAGGTACGTTTAGGAGCTCTAGAACCCAGCACACATGGAGAGAGAGAGAAAACATCTGAAAGATACTGGGGGGTTTTTATCTGAGGAAGAGGTTGAGAGGGATATGAAACACTGCCATAGCCTTGAACTGTTCCTTAGGCAGCTTTGCCTTCTGAGGGACAAAGAGGGTTATTTTTTCCTCACACATTTTTGTTTTGAAGCCCATCCTTCCATTGTCTTCTTGTCCAACAGAGGCTATCTTATCTGAAAGGGGCCACTAAGGAAGGGACACAGAGACATCCTGTGGAAATGGGGGAAGAAGGAGAGATGGGTCACATTATCACCACCTTCATTTTTAAACTCTGTTTCCTTTAATGGGGAAAGGGCAAACTAGAGAATGTAGTAGATTGAGGGACACTCTCCAGACTGTCAAAATCGAGCAAAACAGCATTGGGTGAGTGAGATGAAGCATCTGTCTACACTCAGTCGTGGACCCTTTCAAGTGAAATGGGATTTTGTTTTACAAGTTAAAGGCAATTTCACATATCTCTGAAAGTGTGTCATCATCCTTAGGTTTGGGTCCCCCCCCCCCGCAATTCTGAGGCAAGAGATTCACACAAAAGCAATCCTTAATAGCATCAAGCCAGACAGGCATGCTTAGGGAGGTTACCCATTTGTCACATTTTTTTCTTTTTCTTTCTTTCTTTCTTTTTTGGCCATTATGAATGGATCCCAACATATGCTGGGATCAAAACCCAGCAGTTTTGCACATCCCAGCAAATCCCCTCAGGATAGCCAGTGTGCTTATGTATGGACTAGGACTCAGAACTGGAGTCCTTAACCATTTCACTTATCTTGAAACTCCGAGTAGGGTTTCTATGAATTCCTATGACATGATGGCACATAACAACACAAATTGGGAACCCTGTCTCCTGGGTCTGTTAGTGAGACTATGGATTTGCAAACAACTGTTTCTGGGTGGAATGTCTTTTAAGATAAGTTTCAGCCTGTATTTCTGCTTAAACAGGAGACACCGTTCAAGAAGGGATTCAAAATGTCACTCAAAACTAGGCTGGGGCATGGCAGCAAAGAAGTTGGAGTTATCTCGTGATTTTACCAAATAAAGTTTAGATATGGGTGGAGCTTAATAGGCTCACCAGTTCTTAAATGTTGGACCCGAGACTCTGATTTTTAGAGTTCATTTTCTGAGCCTCAGACGTCAGACCTGATATCACAAGAGAATGGGATTCTGCCAACCTGACATTCGAAGGGCCTGCCTGATATTTATTCCATCAAAAGTTGTTACTGCTAATCATGATTAGATCTGACTTTCTGGCACATGTCTGCAGTATATTTTGCTTGGCCCGCGAGACTTGTTCGTGTTTTTGTAGTATTTCCAGTCACATTATTTTGCCTACATGATCATCCATGTGGGTTCTTTGGAGGGAGCTGCTTAGCATGTCTAGACAAAGGGGACTGTTTAATATGTGGGTCCTTGAAACATACTTTCCATGGATAGTTAAATACATCTGTGTGAATGGCTACAATTTAAATGCCAGGGGGCAGTACAGAGAAATTCACATCAACCTGGGACAAACCTCTAGACGTGGTCACACCTCATTATTTCTGATGGGTGGATCAGTTCTGCATAGGGTGTTTGAATGTGTGGTGAATCTTGTGGAAGGAGAGCTAACTAAAAGTTACCCCAATTTAAAAAGCTCACTTTTCCCAGTTGCCATGCAAACTTGAGAACCTGAACAATGGTCAACTGAGGGTCAAGATTAAAGCAAATACATGTTTTCTCCTCTTACAACATTCTCTTAAAACACAAATCTTTCGGTGCTATCTGCATGAGATGTCAAACATGTTCTGCAAACCCATGGTTGTATTCTAACCATCCAGTTACAAAAGACAGTAATTTTTCAAATGCAGACTGTGTTAGAATAAACAGACAATTTAGACCATTGACCATCCATAATTGTTTATGTATTTATTTAAAATATTTTTACTCTGCTTTTATCCTTAAAAGGATCCAGTAAGCAGGATTCTAGCCTTTACTCTGGCACATAGTCTAACATTTTTCTATATGCAGCAAAGGGGGAAGCCAAAGTGGAGACTAGTTTACAGCCAGCAAGAATAAAAAACAAACTTCTCACTGTATAGACATTAATGGCAATTGTTGATTTTGCGTTCCCAAAAGATAAACTGCCACTGAAGGGGAACAATACGACAGATCAAGGGGAATTAAGTGCTGTCATAGATACTTGGAGGCTGATGTATTCTTCAATTCAAGATCAAATAAAAAGTGACATATTTCAGCTGAATTTCCACTTGACGTACAAGAACATATAATAATGCTATTTCCTGACCATACTTTCTTTCAGTGCCAACCACGGCTCATAGTTGAAACCTTGTATGATTCATTTCGATACTAGCTGCACCCACAAAGCTGATCAATGGGAAACCATTAGAAGAAGATGATCAGTGGCCTCTTGTTTATGTTTGTCCTGCTCTGAAGATAAAAATGGTGCAAAGGCATTGCCGACCATCATGTGCTATTGATATATATGGGATGGAGGAGTTTCTAGCCTCCAGACACTTGCGTGCTAGAAGTAAGGCACATTTAAATCATTTATGAATAAGTAGAAATATGTGGAGTATCACACTGGAAGAGTTATTACTGCTAAGAGATCATTAGTCACCATAACAATGTGTTCGAATATGTTCCTAATGGTCCTTTGATCCATTTAGATTCTAGGAGGGCAACAAAACTGAAGAAAAAACAAAAGAGCTGTAGTATGTACACCGTGTATCTTTGCTGGTGGTGCCAACTCTACTTCCCTAATCTGCTACATATAAAGAAATCCCACGGAAGAAATGCGTAGGTCCCATTTTGATTATCCCATTTGACATGGCTTGGGAAAATTACTGGTTTGGACTATAACTCCCAGAATCCTCAGTGGATTGGCCACTGGCCATGCTGGCTGAGGAATAATGGGAGTTGTAGTCCAAAATATACACTTCCAAGTGCCGTGATTTGACAGGAAGCCATGTGAAATAATAAATTTTTGTTAACTTCTACACCAACACAGTCTGTCAAAATCACAAAGAGAAAGGAGCAAGAAGAAAAAAAAAGGATGCTTATTATAGAAGCTGTGACCAGTGGACCAGTGACATAATGGCACAGTCCTGCTTGTAATTTACTGGAGGTTGCACATTCCAGATAAGCTTGGACATGCTTCTAAGATTGATTGTTGGGGGTCAAGGAACTAAGAAGACCACATTTCGGTAAACAAATTACACTAAGACTCTGTGAGCTCATATTCTATCCCAGCAAAAATTAAATAACAACAAAACAAAATTACTTGGCTTTAACTGAAACTTTACTGGAAATGAAAACACAGATAAATCAGGTCAAAATAAGCTAAGACTGCTGAAGTGCACAAAAATGGATAAATGCAAAAATCACGAGCAAATAAAATCCAAGTCTCTCTCTAAAAGTGTAACCTTGCTTAGTGTCCCATCCTTGTACAGTACTTTATTATGGAAGCTGTGTGCACCATATTTTAAAAATCTCTAGTTACTAATACTTCATTGCGCTTCTTTCAGTTGATCAGAGAGACAGTTACGGTATGACACATGGCTGTAATGGAAGAAAGGGTCAAAAGAAATGCTGGTCAAAAGAAATTATTTAACCCATCAAAAAGAAGCACATACAAAGAAAGAACATAAAGTTATTCCATCAGGTGTGCAAGATTATTAAGAGCTTTCTATCTTTTCCACCAAAATAGGAACTACAAAACCTGTGTGGAAATAGTGTTGGACCAGAATTCAAGAGATCTGGGTTCAAAATTTCTTTTGGCCATGGAAGCTCACTGGAGAGTGAGCAGCCATGGTAAACCATTCCTTGATCATTTCAGTCACCTTTAAAACCACATTAGGGATGCTGTAAGTTGGAAGTGACCTACAACAACATATAACACATAGCAACAGATAGGAATCAATAAGGATTGTGATCCTAGTATGTTTTGATGGGGTAACTGAGCAGGGATAGAGGAAGAAAAAAGATGTCTCTAACACCACTGAGTATGGAAAAGCCACGGTTTCAGTCTAATTAATTTCAGTGGAAACTGAACACAACTAGCTTTGCCTAGGTCTGACCCATAGAAATTTCATCAAGCCTTTTGAATCTTTTGGAATAATTTTTAGTTATTGGAACTAAAAAGTGGATGGCCAACTGACTCCCTGGACCTAAAAGAATTACATTTTCCCAATTGATCCACCTGCTTTTGCACATGTATTTTTTCCCAAGGTGGTGCATGTTGAAATGTTCAAGATTTTGACATGTTTTTAATTTTGTATCCACTATGATAGTGGTTCTTAACCTTTGTTACTCGGATGTTTTTGAACTGCAACTCCCAGAAACCCCAGCCAGCACAGTTGGTGGTGAAGGCTTCTGGGAGTTGCAGTCCAAAACTCCTGAGTAACTTGTATGCAACATCAATCCCTCCTTGAACTTCACTGTATCAAATAATTTTGACCAGTTTCCAATATTCCCCTTTTTGGGCATGATATCTGAGTGGGTAGTGACCTCTCAACTCAAAAGATGGAATGGATGGGCTAGATGCATTTCCATTCAGCTTCAGGTTTTGGGACAAAGACAGCTCTAGTCACCTTGGTGGACAATCTATGCTGGGAACTAGACAGAAGAAGTGTTTCTCTGTTCACTCTGCTGGACTTCTCAACAACTTTCATTGACCATGGTATCCTTTTGAGCTGTTTCTCTGGAACAGGACTTGGAAGCACTATAGCGGTTCTGGCCCTTCCTGGAGAACTGAATTCAGAAGGTAGTGCTGGAAGTCTGACATCTTGGCCTTTGATGCCTCTCAGGGTTGTTTTGTTCCCTGTTTGATTTAACATTTATATTAAACTAAGGAGTGTTTTGGAGTTCAATGCCACCAGTGCACTGAAGACACCCAGCTCCATTTCTTTCCCCCCATCTAACTCAAAGAAAGGTGTTCTTGTTATAAAACAGTGTCTGGCAGTAGTAATGGAGGCAAACAGATTGAAACTTAATGCAAACAAGGCAGAAGTGCTTCTGGTCAATTGAAAGTCAAGTAAGGGATTTTCAAACCCCTGTTCGAATCTCTGCTCAGCCATGGAAAATCACTGGGTAGCACTGGTAACCACTCCTTGAACATCTCACACACTCCAAACCCTGTAAATCAGAAGCAATTTGGGGGTACCTAAGAATAAAGTTTGATAACAGAATGGCATAAAATTTGCAAAATGCCTCTAAAACACCCTCTAATAACAACAGAAGAAAACGGTTACTTTTTAAGCTAATGGAGTAAATTAGCTCCAAGTAGTTACATGATTTTAAAGTGCAAGTTTGCTGAACCCTTGTTAGACAAAGAGCAACTCATTAAGGCTAACTGCAGTACCTATAAGTAGTTACTACCAAGTTCTCTACAGAATTACCTTTCCTGTGGGATTATTATGTAGAATAATCCAGGACATGCTAAGACATCAAGAAAAATCTTTGATGAGGCCCCCTATATATACAGGGGCCCCATCAAGGATTTTTCTTTCAAATGGGTAGAGAGTTGGCAGACAGATATAAGCAAACTCCCCAACTTCAGACTTGCTCCAGTTGGGCATAAAACCATTTCATTAAAATGTATATGTTTTAAACTTTAAAAAAAAAACAAATGATACAACAAAAAAGCATATCCATCTTTAACCCGGGACTGCCCATTCCTCTTTACTAATTTCTCTCAACCACCCTACCTGGTACATATACATGCAACTATAACTACTTCTACACCATACAAGTAATCTATACCAGAATTATATAATAAAAGACTGAACAAAACATATAACAGATAAGCACAGAGAAGGAGGAAAACAAATGGCTGGGGAAGGGACATGGAAGGCGACCTCAGTCTAGCTGCAATCAGTGTCTTTCATCTTAGAGAATCCATTATCGGGCCTATTCTATGGCAATATGGCTGGCGAAACGGCAATATTTCTCCAGCCGTATTGCTTCTTCAGAATGTCATCCAGCAGAGCTGTTTCGGGTGGTCCGGGATCTTCTTCAACTGGGAAATCCGGTGGAGGTCCCGGACTGCTCATCAGCTCGCTGTGATGAGTTTGCGATTCATTTTGAGGGGGAAATCACTCAGATTTGCAGTTGGACTGCAGTAACAGTGGGCTGGACTCCACTGTTACCACAGAATCAGGGGATGTATCCAGTGTTCCATGCTTAAATCAAGTATTAATGGATGAGTTTTGATTGTTGAGACCTGAGGATGTGGACAGGGTGCTCGGATCTGTCCATTCTACCACCACTCTGCTTGACCCTTGCCCATCTTGGCTAATTGGAAGATCTGCCAGGGCGTTCGCACCTGGGTCCAGGCCGTGAACACCTCTTTGAGGAGTGGTCCCTACCACCTTGAAAGAGACAGTAATTTGGCCACTCCTTAAGAAGCCTAACCTGAACTCAAGGCTGGTGGTTAATTACCAACCAGTGGCGAACCTCCCTTATTTGGGCAAAATGTCGGAGCGGTGCTGGATGAAACGGGTTTTCAATCAGGTTTCAGGCCAAGTTTTGGTATGGAGACTGCCTTGGTGGCACTGTAAGATTACCTTTGCCGGGAGAGAGGCAGGGGGAGTGTGACCCTGTTGATATTCCTGGACCTCTCAGTGGCTTTCAACACCATTGACCATGGTGTCCTTCTGGATAGGCTGGCTGGGTTGGGAGTTGGGGGCACTGTTTTACAGTGGTTCTGCTCCTTCCTGGCTGAACGTGTCCAGAGGGTGGTGCTGGGGGACAGTTGCTCTGTCCCATGGCGTTCCTGTCATGGAGTTCCTCAGGGCTTGATACTGTCCCCCATGCTGTATAACATCGACATGGAACCGCTGGGAGAGGTCATCAGGAGGTTTGGGCTGAGGAGTCAGCAATATGCTGACAACACTCAGCTCTACCTCTCGTTTTCCACCAATCTAGGTGAGGCGGTTTCTGTGCTGAACTCATGTCTGGACCTGATAATGGACTGGATGAGGGTTAACAAATTGAAACTCAATCCAGACAAGATGGAAGTGCTGTTAGTGGGAGCTTTGGACAGGCTGGAGGGCCATTTCCCTGCCCTGAATGGGGTTACACTCTCCCTAAGGGACAGGGTCCGCAGCCTGGGGGTGCTCCTGGACCCCAGTCTAACTCTGGAAGCCCAAGTGGACTCAGTGGCCAGGGGCGCCTTCCTTCAGCTGCGGAAATTATACCAGCTACGGCCCTACCTGGACAAGCAGAGACTCATGACAGTTACACACACACACTGGTAACATCTTGTATAGATTACTGCAATGCGCTCTACGTGGGGCTGCCTTTGAAGACTGTTCGGCAATTGCAGCTGGTCCAGAACTGAGCTGCGTGGCTGTAGACAAAGGGCCTTTCCAGCAGCTGCCCCCAGACTATGGAACACCATCCCAATTGAGATTCGTCTGGCACCAACGCTGATGACATTTTGGCACTAGGTCAACACCTTCCTGTACCAGAAAGCTTTTAATTGAAATAATATCAACTGTGGGTCCTGATGGCAATTTTTAGAGTATATCTTTTATTTCTTTTTATTTATTTATTTAACTTATATGCCACCCACACTACCCAAAGGTCTCTGGGTAAATTAATATATTTTAATTTACAATAATTAAAATACAATAAAAATAAAACAATTAAAATATATACTCTAAAAATTGCCATCAGGACCCACAGTTGATATTATTTCAATTAAAAGCTTTCTGGAACAGGGAGGTTTTGACCTGGCACCGAAATGTCATTAGCATCTGCACCAGACGAATCTCAGTTGGGATGGTGTTCCATAGTCTGGGGCCAGCTGCCGAAAAGGCCCTTTGTCTACAAGCTGTCCCTCTTACCTCCTTGAGGGAGGGCTCAAGGCTAGATCTTAACTGCCAGATAGGTTCATAGGGAAGGAGGCAGTCCTTCAGGTATCCAGGGCCCAAGCTGTTTAGGGCTTTATACATCAAAACAAGCACTTTGAATTGGGCCCGGGCAGCAACTGGTAGCCAATGTAATTTAAACAGAATCGGCTTGATGTGTCCCGTAATTAAACAAAAATGAATTGTTTTCTCTTTTTCCCTGTATTTTAATTGTTCCAAGCCACCCAGAGACCTTTGCGTAATGTGGGCAGCACATCAGTTAAATGAATAAAATAAATAATAAATAAAATCTATTTAGGTCAATCCATATAACTTTCGGTACATGAACCATATATTTTGATATTTTTTTGTTCTCTTCCTGTTGTGCGTTATTTTATCCCACAGGCAGCCTTAGCAACAAAACACATCATTCTATAGAAATGAAAGTTTGCTATGAAACTACATATTGAATGCTGGACAAAAGACCTCATGGATCTGGTTACAAAGGGAAAAAAAAACATTTTAACACACCAGTTCAAAAACTGAATAGTTATTTATTGTTCCAGAAGTACATTGCTCTTTTATACATATTTAATAAATGATACAGGATTTTACACATGTTCAGTATTTAACTTTATTTTAAGGACTTTTCTCCATGCCCCCTCCCTCACCCCAAACACACACAAAGGATTCCGCTACAGGATTGCTCATTTTGTTTCTTTTTTTCAAATGCTGCATACAAAGAGGATAAAACAGATAAGAAATCAAAAAAGGAAAAGAGAATTGAAAACAGAAGTGAAAAATGAAAGACAGAGGAGGAAAAGTGGGAAGAGGAAAACAACGGGAAACATGCATCCATTCGGTCCAACATGCCATCGAGTGAGAGGAGGCAGCAACAATCCTGTCTGCATTTCCACATTGGCAAAGGCACCTGGCGTCTGGTTTATATTTATTTTGTACACTTTAAAACATGGTTCTCCAGAAAGTGGGAGCCTCTCGCCTTGACACAGTGAGAAGGAGTGAACTCCAAGGAAACACCTGGCCTTTCTGCAAATTAGGCGTAGAAACCTATTCCAACTTCCATCCTGTCTCCACTGTATTTATCAAACAGGACGATAAGAAGAGGCCGGCTCCATCCCATGCAGGATGCAAGATCCACTCAGGAAAAAAGTCAGCCGTTTGGTCAGAGGTGCAAGATGACGAGGAGTGCCATTTCTGTAATTCTTTTAGTGAGAGAGTGGCTTGCAGTCTGCTACCCCACAGAAATCCTAACCCTCAGGCAATAAGCATTCTTCTAAAGCTACTTAAAGACCAGAGGGCTGGGAATCAGTGTGGAACTGTGTCTTTGCTCCAGGCTTTTGACAAAGCCTCTAAACCAGGCAATTTCATTGACATATCATTTATTTTGCTAGGTAAGTATCAAATTTAATCATCAGTGTTCTAAAGCTGCTTTTTAAGGAACCATGATTGTGAGACACTATACATTATATATATACACACTATATATATCTATATATATGTATATATATATAGCATATGTATACATGTATACACATACACTACTTTTATTTGATAATTCAGGTGGCTACCATATTGTGAGTGAGAAAGAACGGGAATGGCAGCATTTCCTCTGCAAAACTCAAAATGAAGAATTCTCTCATGCAGCATCACCATTTATATGCATAAGTCGATCCAGAGTAATGGACATGTTGAAGTTAAGATGGGATTCAGGAAAAAAATTAAGGTATCAGTGAACCAAATATTGAGAACAAGGAGTATTTGGTTTGTGATATTGATAAAATTGAAGGTATCACTAATTGTCCAGTAAGGGAGAAAATCTGCTTGATATTTCATGGGCAGAGATGAGGAAGGTCATGATTTTTTTAAAGGTAAAAAGTAGTGTCATGTTAATTCTACCAAAAGAGAGGAAAAAAGACACATTAGGTCCAATTTGGAGTGCATGTGAACAGCAGTAAAACTCTAGTTCAGATCACCAGTAATAGCTGCTTACAATGGCTTGACTTTTCTTCACTTTAGTGCACAATTATTTATTACTACCAGTATTCTGAAACTGGAGATTTTCTTTTTCGATTTTAATGAGCTGAGCAGGCTGCTGTTGTTTCATCTAGAAGCAGACACTGCAAAGCTGGAGAACAGCACCCTCCTAGAGTGTCTCTTCATGAAATACCCAACTTTTTGATATATATTTTCACCAAGAAATTAAAAACATTGAATGTGACAATATCTGCCAAGCCCTTTGAAAAAGACTTAACATCCCATAATGCCTGATCTTCTGATGGAACATACTGTACCCTTCTCAGTCAAGGTTGTTGTCTGATTTAAAAAAAGCCCTCCACGCAACCAAAAGACCTCCCAGCCGCCACCTACAGTACTTCAATTAAAGAGGCGAGAGCTATTAACAGGTTTGCCAATTCTGCCAGGGTTCAGAGGTCCTCTGCTGGTCAGTCTTTATCACCAATTTGGCGGACAGGCAAATGTACCTGCAAGGGGTCTCGAAGCCTCTTAAGATCCAATTCTGCCTGAAAATTTAACGAGAAAAAATACTAATGATAAGAACCGTATTTCTCCCAAAATAGTAAAATGCAACATAATTCGATTTCTTTACTGCTGAAGTTATAGCAATTAGAAATTTTTGAGACAACACATACATGATATAATCTGAACCAATGATAATAAACAAACACAGATATTAGCTGCAGGCATTTGGTCAGAAGAAAGAATTAAGCAGAGTAACCTATTTGAATGTATTAATCCCAAAATGTTTTGAAATTTCAGCTGCAGCAACTTCAAAGCAAGTGACTTTCTAAGCTGTGTAAAACTTCTGTATCTTTTCTTAGAGAATGTATATCCATTTAACCAGATAATACATATTTTCTCTACACAATGAAACAATATAGCACTCCAATGAACCCAGGGTAATGCCAATGACAGAATACATAATTTTATACATGGAAGCATGGCTGCCAGCTGCCTTTCAAAAGTTCTGGCAGTTCAGACTGCGAGAAGCTGAGGACCAAGGAGGTATGGACAGTTAAGAGAAATAAATGTTCACTGGCTCTATGAGACAAAGTGATTGCATTGGTTGAATCCATAAAACAATGAACAGATGGACTCTAAAAATCCAGCGTCACACAACAGACTACCCAAATTATTTGGAATACTTCTGCAAAGCTGTTTTACAATGCTTTGAGGGGCTCCCCCCAACAGAAGAAATTAAATATTTGTTTTTATTATATTATTTTTACTTTTATCTATTATTGTTAGTGCCCAGAGTAGACTTAAGTCTAGATGGGCGGGGTATAAATAAATAAATAAGCAAACAAACAAATAAATAAATTATCTGCCACTATTTCTGTCTCTTCCCTTGTTCACACCTATGCCTCAGCAAAAACTTGGAGAACCAGCCTCATTCTTCTCATCATCTCTTTAACTGCGATGTAATTTTACACAATTTGTAGGATCACATCCCCACATTCTATCAAGGGCAAAAAAACAAAATAAAACATGGGAGGGAATAGACAACTCACATGACTGTTATTCTGTAGCAGTTAAAACACGATGTTCTTGCACATATTAAACCTGGGGCTTCCTGGCCACATGGGGCTTTGTCCAATATGGACCTCTACTGATACAAGGCCCTCAAGCATCTCAATATATTGCTTTGCAGGGCTGGAATACTCCCTAGAGCATGCTATGAACAATGTAAAAGCCTGCAGGAGGAAGAGGATGACTGAAAATCCTAATGCTATTGCAAGTGTCACACTAGATTTCGGCCAAGCTGCTGCTAAAAAACCTGCTTGCAAATAGTGGGCAAAAAGTCTTGAGGTATAGTCATCACTGCTCATAATCCATTCCCATGGGAGAACAGATCTGATAACAGGGACTTCAAGTGGCTGCCAAATAACCAGTTGAGATTATTACACATTCATAACAATGTGCTTCTTTAATTACTACAGAACACTGTGAGAACCATATATTCCCATGCTGTATACCTGCAGGTTTAATTTGTCATTTCAGCCTTCTTCTAAATAGGCGATCTAAATCAAAAATACAACATCTGCCATAACAAGTATATCCATCAATTATCAAGCACAACATGAGGATAAATCAGACTCCCCCTCCTGCCTCATAATGGTGGAATTATTTCATTACCTGAGCAATAGCATCCTTGAGTTGATTGTATTTTTCTAAATCAAAACGTGTCTTTTTGGCTCCTTTATGGAAAAATAATAAAAACTGCCTGTCTCTAGCATCTGGGTATACATACTCCTGTAAAATGTGAGCACAAAAGGGGAAAAAATTAATACAAGTATGGTCAGAAGAGGAGGAAAGTGTTGACAACTTAATCCAGGCATTGACTAAATGTAGAATGATGTAATAATTGTCATCGTAAGTTATTATTAATAATATATTAATTATGATTTTTGATTAAAGCTGATTTATAGCCAGGATCTTAAACATCAGGCTGATGATCAGCTGAACAATGATAAGCTATGAAGGTTTTCCCCACCTTACTTATTCTAACTAGATTCCTGTGGAGGAGCTGAACCATAAATACAGTGGGAAGTAAATTTGACAGTGTAGTCACTGAACAGGGAGGGCCAAACATGCAGAAATCAAGAAATGAAGCTCCTGGTTTATTGGGAAATTTGCTTTGCTCCATTGATCCCAGTGAATCTTTGTGGAGTGGAAATGAATAGCCCAAGGTAGTCAGTCCATACCCTCTCCTATCACAGTTATCACCTAGCACACCTATACTATGTGCTGGAATTAACATTTAGTGTGGATTGCACCAGACACTGGAGTGGCAGTTGAGTAAATATAATTTAGCTCACTGGCAACACAGAAAAGAGCAGCTGCTTGTTCTGCAACAGTAGAGATGCCCTGGAAGCTGCAAAACAGGGGCAGGATAGAACCAACAATCCAAAAGAATTGCACTTGAGATAATGAATATTGTATCCATAATGGCCCACTCACATGCACATTCACTTGATGGAATGTTAAACCAGGCCAAATATTCAGAAGCAGGCAAAACAGCTACTCTGGTTTGCAAGAAATGAGCAAAGAGATGAGGAAAAATAATTGATTTCCTAAACATTTCTGATAAGGTTGAATAAAACATAATCAATTCTCACCTGACGTGTTACCACAAAGTAGGCATACATTGCCATGGCACTGCCATATGTGATGAAGTAGGTTACGGGCTCCATAATGTCCCAAGAGTATTCCCACCAAGTCAGCCGGGCTAGAATTCCAAACTGGGTCGCCATATAAGCCAACCCCCCCCATAGCACCCAGGTGGTCCTCTTCTCTGCTTTTCTGCAGATTTCCATCCTAACCTGGAGAAAAAAAAAAAGGACCAAAGTATCATAGTTCTGAGTAGTTGCTTTTCAAAGAAAGGACAATATATAGTACGCACATCCACTAAATGGACGTTTTAAATATTGGTATAAATGTGCTTTTTCTAATATACTGATATACATATTTGAAATTAAAAATGGCTGCCAATTCATTTCTTCGGTGCAACAGTGGCTGAAATCCCACAGTAAGTTGCAACTAGCGAAGGTCTGTTGGATCAGTTGGGACTTGATGAGGCCACTCCTTTGTAAGTTCTACTGATTCAAAAGACCTATTCTTGTTGGGACTTGCTACTGGATTTTAGAAAAAAAAAGGGGGGGAGGGCGGCTAGGTACCTTTTAATAATAATTAAAAAGCCACTGCCTTTAAAGACCACTCTGCAACTAGTTTCCACATAAGTAGAAAGGAAACAGAAAGGGACAGAAAAGAAACAACCCCAAGGATAAGTGCTGGTGATGGTATACAGTCTTCTAGTTCCAAACCCCACCAGTTTACTCAAGCTGGAAAAACAGCACAAGCTATATATATATATATATATAAATCACCTATAGCACAACATACATCATGGGCGATATTAAAAGTCCAAGTAGAAATTCTAAACCCTTCTCATCATGCTTTTAATAGAATCCTAGATCCTTGTCATCATGACTTTAGAAGTGAAGTTGCACTCTGCATCCTACTGCACTTAGAATACTGTAGATACTCCAACCCCTCTCCCCCAGAGAAATGTTCTTATAATGAAAAGTGGGCTTTGGCCTCAAATGTAACGAATGTAAACTTAAGAAGCCTCCTCTGAATGCAACCGTCTCTGTTCTGTGCTTGTATACACTGCACCATCAGGGCTTTGTGCCAGCTTATTTCAGTTCATTATTGTTTGGTTATGTATTTTATTTGATTGGTTTTTTAAATCTGTACACTGTTCAGAATAGTGCTGTGCACTAATGGGTGGTATATAAAGGCCAGAAATAATTAAATGAATAGGAAATAACTTAAGAACACAAAGGCAGCCAAGAAGCTGTGGCCATAGATATGAAAATGTGGAACATATTCTCTCTAGCACAGATTCTGCTTTGGTAACTTACTCCCAAGAACTTCCTCAACAGCCTGGACAGTCATCCATACCCACTGTAAGCATGCTTCACATACCTAAGATTTGTATGCACTCTACACAACTACCACACAAGCAGCCACCTATTCACTTGTGGGTCTTGTATTTTACCAGAAACAACCAATCCCCCACCATTCCAAGTATTTGAGGTTTCCTCTATTAATTGTGCCTTCCAGTGACTGGGTGTCTAGGAGACAATAAATGGGATGGTTTATATTTTGTTGTTTTTAAACCTGCTTTTTGTAAATCTTTTACCTAACATTTTTAGCACAATGTTATTAATTCTTTTTTAATATTTGAGAAATTTATTGTTTTCAGATTTTTAATACTGGTGGGTGTTTTTAAGAACTTATTTGATCAAACCACTGTGTAAATCTTCAGCATAGTGTGCCAACATGGTCTGTGTGTGTGTGTGTGTGTGTGTGTGTGTGTGTAATTCCTTGATTAATTGCTAAAAAAACTTATTGAAGCTAATTAGAATGAATATGACAAGATTTGTTTTTGAACAAAGGAAAATGGATTTATTTTGAAATAACAAATAGGAGGAGAAGGTAAAGATAACTTTCTGAATATACTAACATTAACAAAAATAAACATTTATATTTCTTCACCACATACAAACACACTTCATAAACAGACTATTCTATACCACACAAGCCCCAACAAGCTTCTATACAGATTATTGTCTCTCCTTTCACCCCCCCCCATTCATTCCCATAAAACAATCAGCATTCAGCACCATACTTGAGCATCCCAACACTCATCTGTCAATCAACCCAGCCAGCACCTTTTCCTTGTGTACAATCCCAAAAGGCATACATCCATTTTCACAACAACAAACCAATGTCACAAATCACATACAGAAACAAATTGGAATTGCCTTCAAGGTTTGAGAAAAAGAAGATCTGAAGACAATGCAGCAATGGATTTTTCAAGGCTCTTAGAACCATGAGTACTCAGGTTCTGCTCTGCTGTCACAACAAACATTTCCTAGTATCTGTTTAGGTTAGCTTTTTTGTCATGACAAATATTTCGTAATGCAAATTAGGAAGAATCACACAAAAGTCTTGAATTTTAAACCACTGCCATTGCCACTAAAATCTGGTAGGAACTGCAGTTGCTCTCTGTGGTATAAGTAGGATTGCTGTGCTATCCACTATAGAGGCTTATAAGTGTGCAGGCATCTATTCGTTCTTTCCTGAGCACCAGGGGGGGAAAAAGAAACAGGCACAATTCTGGAAGCACAGAAAAGAGCAGCTGCTTGTTCTGCAACAGTAGAGATGCCCTGGAATCTGCAAAACAGGGGCAGGATAGAACCAACAATCCAAAAGAATTGCCCTTGAGATATGAATATTGTATCCATAATGGCCCACTCACATGCACATATCACTTGATGGAATGTTGAACCAGGCCCAACATTCAGAAGCAGGCAAAACAGCTACTCTGGTTTGCAAGAAATGAGCAAAGAGATGAGGAAAAATAATTGATTTCCTAAACATTTCTAATAAGGTTGAATAAAACATAATCAATTCTCACCTGACGTGTTACCACAAAGTAGGCATACATTGCCATGGCACTGCCATATGTGATGAAGTAGGTTACGGGCTCCATAATGTCCCAAGAGTATTCCCACCAAGTCAGCCGGGCTAGAATTCCAAACTGGGTCGCCATATAAGCCAACCCACCCCATAGCACCCAGGTGGTCCTCTTCTCTGCTTTTCTGCAGATTTCCATCCTAACCTGGA